TTGTTGCACTGATTGTGGGGCTTGGATAAGCCAAAGTTGCTCCCTTGAGACTGGCAATCCTATTGAAAGAGTAAGTTGGTCTGCTATTGCCTGTGCCACCGGACAGGCCCAGAAATGATGATAGCGAGGGGATACACCTCCCACTGAACCTATTGGATAACCTCCACAACCACATATCGTTGGGCGCGACATCCTAAGATGGGAATTTCCTAACATAGGCACCCCATCAACCGCAAGACGCCACCAAATCTCTTTTTGTTCATTTTCCCACCGTAAATGAAACCATAAACGATGGAATGTCCGTTGCAAAAGAAAAATAGCTTCATCCAATATCTCAGAAGAACCCGTCGCCTCTTTGATGAAAAGGGTATGGGCCACACGGCGAGCCATCGAAAAAGGTGAAAGTTGCATATTAGTCGCTATTTTAACGGATAATTGTTGGAATCGGATCGGAGGCCCTACACCCCATCTCCAACCAAGCCTCGACACTAGGGTTTGAGTAACCGACTCAATAGGGGGCCATCGGTGCCTTGCAAACACGTGGTGACGGTGGGGCCAGTTGCCTTGGCTCTGGCAGCGACAACAGCAACTGCAACAGCAACAGTGCCAATCAGCTACGGGCTGATGAATTGTCGCAGTGGCGAGGTTCGGTGTCTGAGGTGGAATTGTTTGGGGAAGAGGGTGGAGGTGAGGAGGAGTTCGATGTGGAGCCGGAAACAGCCGCCCAGCTAGAGCTGCGAGCGACGGTACGTGTAGAGCTCTCACAGGCCAGCTGAAGGAATTTGTGTGTATATGTATGTATGTATGTACAATTTATCTATGTGTGTGCAATGACGAATGAATGAGTGCATGCGGTCGTAGACGCCATTAGGTCAATACGGCTGTGCAAATACGGCAATACGCTGTGTCAATACGGCACGGCGAGATCAATACAGCATATCTTCACCGACTGTACAGCAACAACTGACAAAGATGGACCGGATCCAGCGGTGATCGGTATCCTGGATGAACGCTGCGAGGTAGAATGTGGGGGGTAGAAGGAGCTCTCTTGTTGCTTGCCCTCGCAATCACATAATGCAGGCAGCAGGCATAGACACACACATGCACTTAAAACACATTCATATACACATACATATACACACACAGACACACGCAATCTCGCAATGCACAAACGGTGCACAATTGGAACAGGAAAATCCTTTCAAGGCTAGTTAGACGACAATGTTTTTTGCAACAGCAATATCGTGGCAATGCAGGACTGGAACACGGGCATTATTTTGAGGCTGGCAAGAGGGAAGGGGTCGAATAGAGCTTCCTTGCAAAGCTAACACTTTACCACGCATGCACTTTTCCATGCACTTTTTACGGCAATGCACTTCCCTCCGCTGTACCGCCCGGGGGTTGTGTCGACTGCGAGCTGGAGGAAATGCGATTTCCATAAAGTATGTTCCATGCGTTTATTGCATGGTATACGCATCATATCGTACGGTTTATCGCGTCTCGGACGTTATCAAAGATACGTTTTCAAAGAAGTTAACCGAAAGGGCACAACTACCGCCGTGCTCGCACTTCCTAATGAAAATTGTGGATGAGCAAGCGCTCAAGAGTGCGCCTGCGTATCTCTGTGTGTGTGTGAGTGTGTGTGACATCGTAGCGCAGTTGTGAAGATTCGTTAAGCTGATGATGATGTGCGCACACGTGAACGTTTCCCATGATTGCCTGAGGAGCTGTGCAGGTCACGGTGAGGACCGTGTGGGGCCATTTCCACCTGGCCGGTGCACCTGGGCAGTGTTGCTTCCTGCTTTGGGGGATTTTTTGAGGACTGCACTGCCATCTCCCCCCCCCCCGTTGTAAGATCGGTCCCGACTTGCATTCACAATCTGTACTGTCGTGTCCTCGTTCAAGAGCCGCAGAAGCCACAGAAGTGTGTCCTGAAGCCAAGCCAAGCCTTCCTCTTAAGCCCTTCCTCCCTACAAGACAAGACTGCCCGCCGCGTAGCTTTCGGTGTAGTGTAGCTGTGGTGGCACTCCTTTGCAGAAAGTGGGCGCCCTGTATGTGCGAAGATGCCGTTTATGCGCGACGTACAGTACGGATTTGATGGACGTGCCCGAGGAGTAAGCACCCTGTCCCACCCCAACCTCCTCCAAGCTCCACATCCCAAGCTTTTTATACCGGCAATACTGCCGGACGGTTTGCGGATATATATGATGTGTGAAACAGGGGGGTATATCTTCCGCGGTATTTCGGGGCACCCTCATCCAGTCACTCTAGTCAATTTCTCAGTGTCTCGCTCAGGGGTTCCGCACCCACCACCAGCATCCAACGGAATCTGCCGGATCGACAGCGGGCCCGACTCCATTCCTGGTCGGCTCGTAGGTTAACTTTATCCCAGGTCACCACCGTCCATCAACTATGGGCGCAATACCTTCCATCATCGGAAGGATTTTCGACCCTGACAGGTCTCGATCCCGGGATCTCACGGGGGCAATGGTCGCGCGTTACCAGTAGTGCCTAACCCTAGTAGCATGTATGCTTGCATGTAGAGGGTCTAGAACGGACGGGGACCGGTGGCGGGTCCGGGACGGGAAGGTCCACCGTGTGCGTGTATTGTTGATCCTCCTGATTTCGTTTGCTCTGCTCGCTCGTTGTGCTGGTCGCGGCGGTCTGGGCCAAATAAGGTCCTCCTTCATCACTTCGCCAGAAAACAACGCGCTACGACGCGCATACCACCGCATATACCACCACTACCATTGCATATTTTGCCTGTACAATATAGACACAGACAGCCGGGCTGCAAAACTTCTCGACACGGCGTTTCCTGTACGGCAGCTTGTACCGCCGTAAAAAATAGTAAAGGCCGCCATAAAGGTCGTCTCGCCGCCGTTGATTCACCTGGCGGCTGTGCAGTATACCTGGCCACCCAACAAGTCGTCTGTGGCTCCGCTTCTCCGCGCCCTGCCGGGTGAAGGTCGGCCTGGTGACCCCCCCACCCGGGGGTCACACATCACGGGTTAATGGCCTCCTCCGTCCAGACCAGGCTGCCGTCCTCATGCACCCCCCTGGAGTACCTGAACCGCTCATTGGAACGGAGCAGCAACTGCTCCACCTGCGGTCATAGCAGGGAGGCACCAGCAACAGCAGTAGGAACAACAGAAGCAACAGCAGTAGCAACAGCAGTTACAACAGCAGTAGCAACAGCAGTTACAACAGCAGTAGCAACAGCAGTTACAACAGCAGTAGCAACAGCAGTAGCAACAGCAGTTACAACAGCAGTAGCAACAGCAGTAGCAACCAAGCGGCCGTTACCATCATCATCACCGCTAAATGATAAGGACCGGCCATAATCTATGGTCTCAGCAGAAATAGCACCAGTAATAGCAGCAGTAATAGCAGCAGCCATATTAGCAGTAATAACAACAGTAACCGCAGCAGTAGCAGCTGCAGTAGTAATAGCAGCAATAGTAGTAGCAGCAGTAATAGCAATAGTAGCAGCAGTAGCAGTATAGCAGCAGTAGTAGCAGCAGCAGTAATGCAGTCTTAGCAGCAGTGGTAGCAGTAGAGCAACAGCAGCAGTAATAGCACCGCTGGGGTCAGTACGGTAGAGCGGTAGGGCACAGGGGCACCTGCCGGTCGGCCCGACACTTCTCCACTCACCTCCCCCACTCTGAGGACCACCAAACAGAACGTGTCCAATGGCGGTTCCTAGTGGGTAGTGGAATGGGGTGGAGTGGAGTGGGAGGTGGAATGGAGTGGAGTGGGGTGGGGAGTGGAGGGATGAAAGCGCCACAGGGCGGAAATGAAAAAATTAAACATGTATAATCCCGCAAACATCAAAAATCAACTGCCGACATCCAGGACGCACAGAGGCCTCCAGGACAAGTCTCAAGGGCGTGAGAGTTACGATGTACGAGAGTACGGCACTGAGGGAAGGAAGCTTCCAGTCATGCCAGAACAGGCATTAACGTAAGATCTCTCGCCGCGCGTTACGTGGTTTACAGCATCAGCCACTTCGCCTCGGCAGTAAGGCAAGTCAACACACTCGCTTGCCGCTGTGTGACTGACTGACTGACTGACTGACTGACCTGCGGCCCTGGCGCGGGATTGTTCCAAGCTTGGGGATCCTCCGCCGCCCGAGGCCGACCCGGATGAGGCCACCCGAATTGCTGCCGCCCGCCTTCCGACATAGCGGCCCAGGTACGTGTGCGTGCCTGTGTGGGCGTGGGCGTGTGTGTATCTGTGTGTGTGTGTATGTATGTGTGTGTGTGTCTCATCTGGGCCGCGTGGGATGGGAACGCAAGTGGCGCGGATGCCACACGTGAGCGTGTTGAGGGCGGGAGCGAGGAGAGGAGGAGGCAGACAAAACACAACTACTCCGCACCTCCTGTAGGGCCGCGTTCGTGTGGGCTGAGTCGACGATGAGCAGGTCGCCGGCAATTCGGTACTGCTCGCGGGTGTCCGGGAAGTACCACGCCACTTCCGCGGCTGGGTTGGCTGATACCTCCTGCACCTGGGGTTGTGCGTGGAGGGGGAAATGGCGAGGGTAATGGTGCGGATGAGGTGACGGGGGCGCGTGGTTCAAGGGAGTAAGGATAAAGGGTCAAGGGTAAAAGGTAAGGTGAAAAGGTTCAGGTGATGAGTCGTCGACTGAGCCGGCTTTCAGGGTATCAGCCTGGCGCGTGAGTCAGTCAGCCCTCAGCCGTGCAAGCTGACGTGTAGCCGCCAAGCGCCGTACGGCTGGCCCAGGCTGCAGCGCTGCATGCTGGCTGTTGAAGTTTGGGGGTCTCCACTATCGTAGTATAAACTTACGTGATGAAGCGTTCCCCGGCCCCTGGAAACTAGAGCGTTTGGAGCCGTGGCGCACAGCGAGAGGGGCCAAGCTTACCTTTCTTGATCGGCTGTCTGTAACAAAGGTCAAAGAGTCGTCATCGTCCGCTAAGAAACCTCTAAAAACAACGGTCCTGTTTGCCGGCCGTCCATCCTCTCTCACTGTCGCCAACTGCACATATCGGCTATACGCAAGATGCTTATTCTTCTTCAAGGATTTCTGAATTTTAATTCTCCAAATTGGCGTAGTTAGCCTCCCGGCCATCGCGGCAACCTCTGCGGCAAGGGCCATTTATAAGCAGATGGATATGCCTCCTCAGCAGCTCTTACCGCACCCAATAATCAACTGCATGCATAACGAATATGTAATCTAAATGCCTCGTAAGGAATTCCAAAAACTTTGAAATTTTGAGTGAAGCTTGCTGCAGCTTGGATCGGTGTCGGCCACAGGCCACCGGCCACGTCACCTAAAATGCCATCCACTAATGAAGGTAGCGCTCCGGACATCCGACGGGCTATCCACATGCGTCCCTTGCGACCTGCGGAACACGCGCTTGCTGTTAGGTCCATGGTAAATGTCGCATATGGGCTGCGGCCGTAGACAGGCACGGGGGATGGGGGACGGGAGTCACAAGCGCATTCCCCCTGTCGCAACGCGGACCTCCTTAAACCCTTTCTTCCCATTGTTACAATAGACCGGAAGGAAGTCGTCGCTGCCATCACTGCTTTTCCTGAAACACAAAACTGCAGTTCTAAACCCTGAGCAACCGGAAACCGCTGCTGCGGCTTCGTTACACACAAGCGCCCCCTGTGGGGGGCTCTCGGTCCCCATCGCCAACACGTCCCGCGCTGGAAGACCACCTTTTCCCTCACCTGGCCCCAACCCCACTACATACATACATACATACATACATACATACATACATACATACATACATACATACATACATACATACATACATACATACATCCTAAATATTCACAACACCTCGCGAAGGGACACACACACTCGACATCCCCCGAGTGACGTCCCCCACCCAACCCACCCACCCACCCCGCGTCCGCTCCCGCACGCGCTTTCGTTCCCTTTTCCCCCCTCCCTGCCTCCTCTCTCCCTACCTACCTTCTCATCCTAACAACCTTCCCCCTCATCGCATCACATCGCGAAACGTCCAGCGCATCAAAAACAAATGCAGCCAATTTCACCGAGCTCCACGTCATTTACATTTTTGGCTTTAGCAGGTTACATGTCCACACCACACCCGCCGGTCCCTTGTGTCATGCCCTGGGTCGCAATGCCCCCTAAAGGACCAAAGGACCAGCTCCGATAGGCCCTCTGCCGCCAGCGGTCGGCGTCGCCGTCGCCGCAGCAGCCGCTGCCCCCGCCGCTACCGCTCCCGTGGCAGGGCTGGCCACCGCAGCCGCGGAAGCCGCCGCGTGCTGCCTGGACTTCTCCCGCAGCCGCCGGAGCAGCACCGCAGTCTCCACAGGCAGGCGGATGCACCCGGCCATCCGCACCATAACGCCTGCCCCGTCGCCGCCTCTGCCTCCACCGCTGCTGCCGCCTCCGCCGGCCGCCATTGATGCCGAAGCGCGGCCCTCCACGCCGCTCACCGCCGCACGTAACGCGCTCACTGGTCCAGCCCCGCCGCTGCCACCGCCGCCACTGCCGGCACCAGCACCGAGCGCCTGTTGTCCCTGCCCCTGCTGCTGCTGCTGCTGCGACCCCTGCCCCTGTTGTTGTTGCTGATGTTGTTGTTCTTGTTCTTGTTGTTGATGTTGTTGTTGTTGTAGGGCAGGCATACTCAGCCTCTGAAGGTGCGGGCAGTTGGAGATGTCCAGGCGGGTCAGCGCCGGGGACTCCAGCGTCACCTCCTGCAGTCGGGGACAGGAGCGCAGCGTGAGGGTGGCCAGCGCGGGGCTGGGGCAGCGCAGCGCCACCAGGGATTTGCAGCCGCTGGCGTCAACGTGCCGCAAACCGTCGTTGCCTGCGCGCGCAAGAAGAGGGGGCCACGAAAGAGACACGGAGGGCGGGAGGTAATGGGAAGGTAAGGAAGGCAAGGAAGGGTAGGTAAGAGGAAAAACACTTTTAAGAGGTGTTCACTAAAAAGAGTTGCGGCTGAGGCTGCAGCCAGGATAGGGTAGGGTGATGTGGCAAACAGCAGCACAGACCCAAACGAAAATGACTTTGTGGCCATGTCGGGCTCAGCCGCATTCGCCCTTGTCAGATGACAAGCTGTTGTTGTTGGTGGTGGTGTGCATGTGTGTGTGTGTGTGCTTGAGGGAGGAAAGGGGGATATTCCCCGCAGGCAGAGCACACACCCCGTTCGGAAGCATATCCAGCCTCACCCACCTCTTCCTCCCCCTCCTCCTCTTCCTCCCCCTCCTCCTCTTCCTCCCCCTCCTACCCGAGCACGCCGAACCCTGAACAGCCCAACCCGTCTTCCCCATTTAAAACTTCGCGAGCTCCGAGAGACCGCTCCCCTACCCGCGGGAATGTCCGCAACCACCACCGAGTTGCACCCGTTGACATCCAGGTGCCGCAGGGAGGAGCCGCACTTGGCCAGCAGCGCCGCCAGACCCGGCCACTCCAGGTGCCGACAACCGAACAAGTTGAGGTGCTCCAGGCGACCCACCTCCCAACGCTCCGGATCCAGATCCACAAGCCTGACAGAGGCATGAGGGGGCATGAGGAAGCATGAAGAGGCATGAGGGGCAGGAGGAGGCATGAGGGGGCAGGAATAAGCATGAGGAGGAGGTTCAAAGGCAAGATCAGATCAGATTGGATCAGATCAGGGCCGCGTGGGGGAGTCTTTAAGATGGTGGTGGATCCTTTCCAATCCAGATTCGAACCTGGCTCTGGATCTGCTTATTACCTAGACTGAATTTAATTGAAGAACTTGAATTTAAACCTGGGTGTGTCCCCCCGATTTTGGATTTGGATTTGAATTTGCCCGCTTCCTTACCTGAAGCACAGGCTGGCTGTCAGGTGGCGCAGCTGGGGGCAGCGCAGCTGCAAGCGAGTGAGGTGGCGGCAGCCCCCCACGTGGAGCTGCTGGAGCGCGGGAGCCACCACTGAAGTACCAACAGCAGTAGCAGCAGCACAAGCAGCAGCAGTTGCAGCAGTAGTAGCAGTTGCAGCAGTAGTAGAAGCAGAAGCAACAGTAGCACCAGCAGCAGACGTAGCACCGGCAGCAGCAGCAGCAGCAGCACCGTCAGTAGAAATAGCACCGGTAGCAGCACCGCCCCAAAACGTCCGTGAACACAAAGCACAGGCAAAAATTACAGAAGGGAGAGCCATCAAAGGGGGTGCGATGAATAAAATGAAAAAAGGGGGAAATTTAGGGCATGTGTTACGGAAAAGATTCACATTTGGTATCGACAGCTGGAAATGTTGAAAACGCTTGCCCCAATAATACACTTTCCTAATCAACGCAAAATTCCAAACCAAATAAAAATATTATATTTCACACAAGCATAATCCTGGTAAAAGTTTAAGAAATTCCAGCGCGCTGGGCTGTAAAAAAGGTTGGCAGGATCTGCAGAGGCTCTCCCCTCTCCCCCCTCTTTCCCCTCCTTCCCCATCCCTCCCGCCTCCTCCCCCTCCCCCCCCTCACCCACGTACCGTGTAATTTACTCAGTGCCTTGCAGTCCGCCAGATGCAATTCCGTGAGCGGCGAGGTGAGGGGAAGCTGCATGATCACTTCGTGCAGGTTGTGGCACGCCGACGCGCGAAACACACACAAATTGCTCTGCATAAGGCCGGGGGGAAGTCGTGGGGAGAAAGGGGGGGAGAGAGAAGGGAGCCCTCCGTGATCGGCGCTTCACTGACGGACGGAAGGGCCCCTCCATGACCCTCCGTATATATAACGGGGAAAGACGGGAGGAGGACGGGAGGAGGACGGAGACAGCTTCCAGCTGTGCAAGAAGATGAACGCGCCCCAGCTTGACGAGCCATGAGGAGGTGCAAGTGCGTCAGTGGGTTGTGTGGGGCTAGAAGGCGACGCAGTCAGCGGCGGGGGGGCGGCGGGGGTTCCCGGGGGTGGAACTTAGGCGCGGAGGGGGGTTTCACAGACTGGACACAGCGGTTGCGGCATGTGTAGATAGATACATGTATACATGTATACATGTATACATACATACATACATACATGTATACATACATACATACATACATACATACATGTATACACTCACATAGTAAACGCACGTAAGACACTGAAAGCGCCCCGACAGTTCTTACGGCACTTACTGTGGCTGGCAGTATCAGCGCCGCCCGGGTGATGCGGGGGCAGCGGGAGATGTCCAGCTGGAGCAGACAGGACTTGGGGAGGGGGGCGGACAGCAGCGCCTTCACGCCGTCAGAGGAAATAGCCGTACAGCCTGCGGGGGTGGGTTGCGTATCTGTCTGTCTACCTGTCTGTCTGTCTGCTTTGGGAAAATTGAGTCGCGATAAGGTGTACGTCGATTGAGTGTGTGTGTGTGTGTTTTAATGACTTGAGCAGCGACTGAAGCTGCTGCCAAGGAAAGAGTGCTGCGGCAAAGAGGGGTGGGGGTGGGGGAAGAGAAAAAAAAACCTTTGCAGCACAGCACGGTCATGGTTCCCAATTATAATTATGGCGACGGTCATAATCAGACGGGATTGGCTCCTTTGGGTTTGGGCATCCCCTTTTGTTCCCCCCATCCCCTTTAGTCATGATGATGATGACGGTGGTGGAAACCCCCCCGAAAACCACAGACCTGATAAATTGATGCTCATGAGCCCGCGGCCGCTGTGGTGGTGTGTGGCCGCCGTGGCCGCACGCGCAAGCCAGCCATTGTGCGTAATGCTGGCGGATCCCCCTGTACGGAAGTACGGCGACGCACCCATAACGGGGCTGCTGCCGTACAACCAGCTCTTGGAACCAGAGCCGATGACCGCGGCAGCAGCAGCAGCAGCAGCCGCAGCAACACCGGTACTGTGACCCGCGGGACTAGTGCCGTACAGCCAGGGGCTGCTGGCACCGCCGCGAGCAGCGGCGGCGGCACCGTACGACGTGCCCATGAGGCCGCTGCCGCTGACAGGAGACGCGCCGTACAGCGGCGTCCCGGAGGCGCTGTCGCTGCCGGCGGTGCCCCGGCGGGTGCGGCCGCCGCCGCTGCCGCCGCCTCCTGCTGCTGCCGTCGCCCCCGTCACAGGCGCGACGTTGACCGCGGCACCGCCATTGCCGTCACCCTGTCGCGGCTTTGCGGCTGCTGCTGCTGTGGGTGGCGACAGCGCCAGCCCGGCCTTGAAGGCGCCCTCCAACACCTCAGCGCCTAGCGGCGAAGGCGGCATGGCGACGACGCCATCTTCCTCGCCCTCCCTACCACCCTCAACACCGGGATCTGCTACCCGGCTGTGAGCCGCATCCCCGCCACCCGCCTCCCCCTCGTCCTCCTCCTCGTCATCATCACTGCTGCTGCTACTGCCGCTACTGGCGCGAGCCCCACCACCCTCCATATCCTCCTCCCCCTCCTGCGCCTTGCCGTCACCGTCGCCGTCAGCCGCCACCGCCGCGGACGACCTCACGTCGTCCAGGAGGGCTCCAGAGGCCTCCCCGCAGGCGCCCGCCGGCCCGCCATCCACCTTCGGCCGTACAGATGGCGCCGGGGTGGCATCGAATTCAAATTGCAACTCATCATCGCCGTCGCCGTCACCGTCGCCGCTGCTCCTCCTCCGCTCCTCCCGCCGGCCCGGTATGGGGCGCTGCAGGACCGGCGACCTCGCCGCTGCCGTCGCGGCGGCTGCGGCGGTGCCGATCGCCGTCGTCGACTTCTGAGCATCGTCGTACTCCCCGTCAGAGTACGACGACGACGATGAGGAGGAGGAGTCGCCGCCCTGCAGCCAGGGCAGCCGCCGCCACGGACGTCCACACAGGGGCTACAGTCACATGGCGCCTTACACCCTTCTCAACACTCCCATCCAACATGCCCCCAAGTGCCGACCCGGCATACCGCCGTACAGCTATCATCTGCCTCTTGGAAGACTAGCGGCCGCCTGAAACCTCTCAAACACGCTCTCCCCTCCCCCCAATCCCTCCCTCCCCCCTCTCCCTCTCTCCCCCCGTTCCCTCCCTTACCAAACCCCCACTCCCCACACCACCCCCACGCGCAAGGAAGCGCACCGTCCACCCCTACACAAGGCCCACCACATATCCTCCCTCTAATTGACGCCGTGCTCGTCCCAAGGAAAGCTGCCCAGCTTCCCACATAAGCCGCGTATGAAACACCCACACATACATACATACATATATACATACATACACTCCATTGCGGCTCAGCCCGACAGCCACTTCCCCCAAAACTGCCCACCACCGCCACATCTACAAGAAATCATGGGCCCCCTGTTCGATCCTTACCTCCGGCGCCAGGCGCTGGTACTTGGATAACGCAACCAGCGCTGAGGAATAAAATTACAATGTACGACAGCAGGTTACGTGCATTCCAGGCAAGCGGGAGGAGGGGCCAGCGGGGGACGAGGGGTGAAGGTTTTGCATCGAAAAGGCAAAAAAAGGCAAAAAAGGAAAAAAGGCAAAAAAAGGAAATGACTGCCAACGGAAGTTCAAAGCACAAAATGCAGTCTTCAAGGCGTGTCTCAACAAAAAGCACAGGGACTGCGTAAACCGCAACTCCGTGAAATTCTCCCCGTGGAGAACGTGTTTGCGTGTTGTGCGCCAACCCGTGTAATGTGGTCTTCAGTGTCTCGTGGAATGCCAGGTTGGGTGCAAAAGGAATGAAGCATCTGTTGGTTGACATTTTGAGTATTAAAATTGCCCACGTCCGAGACTGCCCACGTACCTGGCACATACATACATACATACATACACACTGAGTACGTTCTTCCCACGTATCTGGATACCCCTTCCACGGCCTCCACCTCTCCAGCCCCCAACCTCCTGGTCCGTCCTGTTTTCCCCTCCCCTCCCCGCCCCTCCCTTCCCCACCCCTCCCCTCCCCTCACCCGCGTCCGTAATACCCACACAGTCCGTGAGGTCCACCTCCCTGTCAGGCCGGGGTGGAGGGGTGGAGTGAGTGGGGGATGAATGTGGGGTAGGTGTGGTGTGGGTCAAGTGGAAAACGTGACGGTCAACAAGTGGATTGGGGAGGGGAGAAGTTGGGGGAGGGCGAATCGGGTTGCGAGGGTGTGGATCGGGCGGCTGGGTAGGGAAGACTCTGCCACCTGGCGGCACGGGGCTGGCTGGCACGTTCCAATGAGGTACCTCACGAAGGGGGTCACCCCACGAAATTCATTACGCATTCTGACATTCGCTGCGACAACACGCTTCAGACGCGAGAGACAAAAGACGAGACAGCCGAACCCTACTAACAAGACCCCAAAACAATCAGCAACCTCCCCCACCACACATCCACACACACACATCCATACACACACACACACACTCACGTGCACCGCGTCTGCACTTGCGACTCACGCACTTTAGGTGCTGCATGGTGTGGCACACCGCCATCAGCTGCCCGTCCGACAGCCACCTACAGCCCTTGAGGCTCAGCGCCTCCACGGGCACCAGCCGCCGGTCGCTGCGGCTGCCGGCGGACAGCGCCACCACCAGCGTCGTGAACTCCCCGTCGGACAGCGGGGCGGCGGCCCACTGGCGCAAGCTGACGGCTCGGGCGTTGGGGTGACTTGCCACCATGGTCATGATGCCGTGCATACCCAAACCTGGGTGGTGTGTATGGTAGGAAAGAGTGAGGTGATGGTGATGATGATGATGATGATGATGATGATGGTGGTGGTGGTGGTAGTGACTGTGGTGGTGGTGGTATCTGGAGAGATGGCTGCACCAGTCCCCTATCCTACCCGCCAGGACCAGACCTGCCACCTCGCCTCTCGACACACCCGGCCCCGCTCCACTTCGCTTCCGGCCCTCTTCCCCCACCCGCTCCGAAACCAGGCCGTTCGTGAAGATTTTCTTCCCTACCTGTGGGTATCTGCAGCTGGCGTGTGTTGGTTCTCAGGGACCTGGCGGGCCCGGCAAAGTCCCGGCAGGTTCGTGCCACCCGGGCCAGGTCGCGAGAGCTCAGAAAGCCAAACACGTGGCGCTTCAGGTCGTCGGGAAGGATGTCCCAGTAGCAGACGACAGGAGTGGCAGTAGCGGCTGCAGAATCCGCCGCCGCTGCGTCGGCGCTGCTGCCGCTGGGGAGTTGTTGGGCGGACGAGCCGTCAGCGTCAGCGTCGCAGCCGGCGACTCCTGTTGGAAGCCGGGGTTGCAGGGGCGCAGATGGACGTGTCAAGGAGGACGTGACATGGGGAGTAGGGCTGAGGGGAGGCGGGAGGTGTGGTGCAGGGGTTGGGGTGCAGGGGGAGGTTTGGGATTTTTAAGGTCTGGTGCGTGGGGGAGGAGGGGAGCAGGATGGGTTGCTGAAAAGACGGCAAGATATGGGCAGGCAGGCGTCAAGGCCGTTCGGGTTACCCCAGGTGCTGGTTGGGAACATCTGCTGACCGGAGGGGGAAAGGTGTAGGGGCTTGGAATCCCGCTGTTTGTTAACTGCTCTTTGGTCCGGGTCAAAGGCGGGTGTTCGCAAGGCAGGCACTACTTTAGCATTCCGCAAGTTCTGCTGTCATTTCATCCAATTTCGGGTCAGTTGTGGTCTTATTTTTCTGGATGAATGGATTATTGCACCTGGGCGCGTCTGGCCAACTGGATTCCGCTAGAGGTAGGGCTGTCCCATCAGGCCTTCCCAGCCTTCACCTGCGGCACCGGCGTCGTTAGTCGCTGCAAGCTCCAGCAGCCGCTCCATTGCAAAGTTAAATTTGTTGTTACAGCCTACGTAAACGCTCTCAATAACCTCGCGGTCAAGGGAGCTGCCGAAGAGCTCCAGGAGGTTTATCATATCCGTCGTGGCCTGTGGTGAAGGGTACTCGTGCATGCCGCACATATCCCTATCGTAGAGTGGCCGAGGCATATCAGCAGCAAGGGAGAAAGCTGCACTTCCACGCCCCATAACCCTTGCCCGGCCAGCTGTATGGCGTTGCTGCAGCTCCGCTTCCTCGAGCTCCAGTTCCTCCTCAAATGCATCTCGAGCATTTGCATTTGATAAATTATAAGTTATTGTCTGCTGTCGCCTGGATTTGCTGCTCTTTGGGGGCATTTGGATGTTTATATTCTCAGAAAAGCTGACGTCGGAGAGATTAGAATTTATGAGCCCAACCTACTGTCTCCTTGAAATCCACGAATAGTGCAAATTGCACTGTGCGAAGGCTACAGTTCGCTTTACTTTTAAACATCCCGTACAGGGCAGTAACTAGACTGTGGGACCTTTAAACGGAGCGCCCAAATGATCACTAAAAAGTGCATCAGTTACCCAAGTAGTTCGGGCATCTTAGACTTGTTCCTGCAGGGCATGGTTCCGCCAAGTTCTTATGTCGTACCCTTCCTAATTTAGGAATTCCTACGCCGCGTATTTTCATGTGTACGGTGAGACCAGCGCCAGAGAAACCAACGAAGAACTGCTTAAGGTGTTGGTTAACATTCGTTGCTTAAACGTATAATCATAGACTTCAGCAGTCCAATGAGGTGGCTGCTGGGGAAATGCAGACGATGCGCAAGAACTCCACCTAATTTTCCTACTTTGCAATAACTTTATGTTATTGTGTGCTTTAAGGCATCTCTGACAGCCGGGCTGGCATTGAGTATGCTCCGCTTTGGGGTGGAGGCGTGTGCACACACATGCACATGTGCACACACATGTCCACCTCCTGAGATTCACCAACGACGACAATTAAAACAATCGGAATCAAGCACGCGCGGTGCAGCAGCAAGCGAAACGCCCCAGCATTGACTGCCTCCAGCGTGCAATTCCTCGAGGCTAGGTCAGGGCGCCATGCAGTGCGTGCTTAAGCTGCTCCTTGGACTTCGGGGGCCCCATGCAGGGCTCACCAATTCGGGGCCAGGTGCACAATGTGTTCATGAGGTGGGATGGGATGAATGCTCCGCAACTAGGATGGGCACAACGCCCGCTGGGCTGGATGGCTGTGGCATGCATAAGCCCCACGCTAGCAACATCCCCATCACAGTAAGGTCGCGGCCATAGGCCCCATGATGCTATATGCGGGTGTATTAAACCTATCGGGAACCCCAGCGACCCCTGGCAATGTGACCGTCTACTCAAGCAGCTGCAATCTATCGGCACTCAGGGCTTCAGACGTGGATACACGCACAACACAAAGAGCAGCGCCAATTGCATTGCTCTGACAGACGAAGCAACATAGACCACAAGACACTTCCGCATATTTGCTCTTGCGATCGCCCATAGCCGGTCAGGCACGGAAGTCACAAATGCGCGGTGTTTACGTCCTACAGGCTGAATCACGTACATAATTTCGTATAAAGATGGGCGAGATTTTACAATTTCCTTGCGGTTTGCGACTTGCAACTTGCGACTACGCAAGTTGCTTGCAAGCTGGACGCAAGAGTGCACTTCGCTTAGCTACCGCAATTTATTTCGCAACCAGCCATAATCAGGTCTCAGGCGCATCAGTCTGCGATTGTTGCAGTGCGTAATCGTAGTTGACGAAATTTCGGGCCTCGTGTTAGATCTTGTCGTAACTTCGGAGCTAGCGGGAGCTAGGACTCAGGTGTACCGCGTGTGATGTTGATGATCGCTAGCTTTGCTATTTAAGTGAACATTACTGTGTGTTTGTGAGCCTAAACTGGGTTTGGATATCCCCCTATTCTTCGGCAAGCTTACGTTTCGCGATTGATTGGGAGCGGTCCGGTTCCTTTTCAATTGGTTTTCAGAGCCTAGACCCCGATTGGATCGAGTGCAACGCCTCCCGTGCAACACGGATTGCATTTCGCCAGACTAATTGGCTTGGACGCTAAATGTACGGCCAGGCCTACAAAGCCTCCAAGTCCACCAGAAATGGAATTTTTCACCCATGAAGAAATGCAACGGTTTGCGGCAAGTGTTAATAGCAAGATAGCAGAGTTGCGCGTGTGCGCAAGGAGAACCGGCTACCTAACATGTGCGCTCATTACCGACACTTGAGAATGTACATATGAATCAAATTTTTCATAAGCATTTGTTGCCTGAAGTTCGGCGCTAGTCGGTCTCACTTGGGAACGTGCATGTTGCTGATGCCCCTTGTGGCGGGCTGAAGGTAGAGCAGACACATTCCCGGCTGAAGAGGACGCGAAAGGTTACCGGGGACATTTACGTGTGGCACAAGGTATCTCACGTCGACGGGCGTTTAGCGCCATGGGCGACTATGAGGGACCGCCATACCCTTCGCGCACGAACGGATACGTTGACTCCCTAACCACAATACAAGAGACAGCACTGGCCGAGCTATGCATGAAGCTGCCCTCCGCAATTGAAGGCTTGACTGCGGGAAACGTGAGTGCAGGAGCAATACGCCTTCGGGAACACTTGTTCTCAACCGCGTTTGATTTTTATGGGTCATTTGCGCTTCTTTGGTAGACTTTCGTTGGCGATTACGGCTTCCTGCGTTTCAGCACACCACTCTCGTTTCGGCTCGCTTCATCGCCAGCAACACAAGATAGATGAGTCAAACCTACATCAAAGTATCCGCAAGCGGCTGATCTGTGAAGCATACCAAAAGGTCTACAATCCACTCTTGCGCAATACAGCTGTCCCCGGGGACCCCGGCGACTTAGCTGCCATCTTGTCGCCTTCCCACCTTACACATTACGCATGTTCTTTGCCCCTCCAAACCTCCCCCAACACTGTAATGCTACTTTTTACACTCTGCCGCTTTACACCCTTCCTAATCCGTCAGCTAACGATATGGGGAGTCTCTCTAGCAGACCTGGCTCATCCGCTGCCACAACAATATCCGGAAGACGGTGGTTCGAAGCCACTCATGCACCAAATGGCAGCTGACGCCCAGCAAACAGCAGGTCAGCATCAACAGCAGCAGCAGCAGAAGCCGGATGACGCCTCCATGGAACTCAAGGCGTTTCAGCAAGTTCCCAGTCGCGTGCAAAAAGTGGTGTTGCTCAAATTTCTAAGAGCCCGTCAGTTCAACGTCCTGGCGGCCCTCACCATGCTGGTCAACTGCCTCAAGGTATGATGATGTCGTGCAGGTATTGTACGGCGTTCGTACATTGCTTTATAAGGAAAGGAGTTTAAGGTTTTAATTAATCACTCCTCCAGGGAACAACCATTTACACATATATACACACGCACGGACCCCTACCTTCCCTCGCACACACCGCCCCACCCCTCGGCTGCCTCAATGGCGAATCCTCCTCTTGCAGTGGCGCCGTGACTTCGACGTGGCGGGTTTGGCGCTGGAGACCTTCCCCCCCCAGCTGGGGGCCGCGGGCCAGCTGTCGGGTCGGGACAGGGCTGGAAACCCAGGCACGTGTGCGCGTGTGCGTGTGTGTATGCCTACGTGCCCGACATGGGTTTCGGGGTTTTACGTGTCGCAGGGTAATCAGAGAACCACCACCACACGCCGCGGCATAACCGTCCTTTACCGCACATGCGCGCTATGTCTGGTTGCATCAGCCTCCCCGCCGACCCCACCTCTTGTTTTTACATTTTTTTACAATTACTTCACGCAATGGCTCTCGAAAGGTGGTGTTGGCAATAAACCCAGTGAGGGGTTCAATTAAAGGGAGGGGGTTTGTGGGGACGGGGGGCCCGGGGGCGGCACGCAGCTGTTCTCCTGGTGCCTCGCTCCTCGGGGGTGGCGTCTTCTTCTTCCGGGACTAGATACCGCTACACCAGCGAAGACACGCCAGATGGAAACACACGGCCCACCGCCCGCCACCCGGGGCAGCCCTTTTCGCTCCCAGCAACACACCTACCATCAACCTCAGGGAACGGACAGACAAACAGACTGACTGACGTGTATTTATCCGTGTGTCTGATTTTCATAGACACACGGTTTCGGAGCCCACTGAAAAAACACGACACGTCACACGCGAAGGCGGCGGGAGGGGAGGGAGGGAAGGCCCTGTTACAGGGCCCGCCCCCCCCGTCACTGTTGGGGAAGGGGTTGTTCGTCGTCCAGTGCGGTGATTTGTGCGTGGTGCAGGAGTTCAAGAAACAATTGTTGTGAAAGGGCGTTGTAAAAGGGCGTGCCGGGGCATCGTGTGTGCTTTATTAAGAAGAAGTAAAGAGAAAGGGAGGAAGGGTGGGGTAGGTGGGGTTGCATGCGGCACGTGACATGGCACCCCGCGGAGGGTACCTGGGGCTGGAACTGGGGTATCGCCCTGCCGCTCTCCATCCACCACATTCCACATCCAGATTAGGACACTGGCACATTACTTCCCACTTTCTTGACTTCTTGATTTTTCTACCGACTCTATGCACCTCCGGACGAGGAAGGAATGAAGGGCACCCTGGTTCCACGGGTGCTCCTGCCGGTGCGTCTGGTACTCTCGTACATATATCTACTCATGAGAGCAAAACGAGCGGCGGAGAGAAAAAACGTTTTCTGGTTTCGGTGTGCCTGGTTGACACCCTTTCCCTTGTACCGCCGCAGTGACGTACAACTACTACGGCAGCGATCTGGATTTGCAATCCGTGTTCGGCAGCCCTGGCGGTGTGGCCACGTTTGTGAGATGGCGGGTGAAGCTCATGGAGCAAGCAGTGGGGCTGCTGGATTTTGAGGGCGGTGTTGAACACGTGACACAGGTATACGACATGTACGACGTGTACGGCATTAATTAAACGTGGGGTTATGACAATGCGGGGCAACGGGTTAAGGACGGCGTGTAGGTACGGGGGAGTACGGCAGGGGGCACATGTGAAGGGCGGGCAGTACGTACGGCAGCGGACAGGCAACGCACGCTTTAATGGCTAATTAAAAAATTTGCTCCTAAAATTATTATATGCAGTTCAATTCCTTGTATAAGCTTCACAAGTCTCTCATGTCTCGTTCCCACGTCCCCCCCTCCCCCCGTCTGGTACACTCTTGCCCTGGCAGCACCTTCACTCGTTCGTGGTTCATCTTTCCCCCCCTCCCACCCCCCACTCCCCACCCCCCCGGGGTCGCAGGTTCACGACTACTCGGGCGCCTCCATGTTCCGGATGGACTCGCACACCAAGGCGGCCTCGCGGCAGATCATCAAACTGTTCCAGGTGCGGCTGGGGCGGGTGGTGCGCACCTGCCCGCCAGGACTGGAGAACAACACGAACACGGATTTGTTCATATGTTTGCACCGTCTCTCTGTGTGTGTGTGTATGTATGTACATTTTACTTCAGCCATCTCCCACCTCCGAGGCGGGGGTGCCAACATACAAGACGACTGAATATAAGTTGTCCACTTGTCAACTTCCTGGATTGGCGTGTTTGCCCCGGGATGTGTTCGAATTGGTCCATCCATCCATCCATCCATCCATCGCCGTGAAAACGTACTTACTCCCCACGCCGGCCCTACTAGGTGACCCCTACAGCTTCGCCCCGCCCCGGATTTATAATGATCCGAAACCAGTTTTGCCACTCAACCAGTGCTCCTCGCATCTCGCACACGCACACACATACCTCACATATACACACCTCTCTCTCTCTCATACACACACACACACCTCTCATACACACACACCACACACACCTCACACACACACATACCTCACATATACACACCTCTCTCTCTCTCATACACACACACACACCTCTCATACACACACACCACACACACCTCACACACACACACACACACACACACCACACACACCACACACTCCACACACACACACACACACCTCTCCTCTCTCATACACACACACACCTCTCATACACACACACCACACACACCTCACACCTCACACACACACACACACACACACACCACACACACCACACACACCACACACACCACACACACCACACACACCACACACACCACACACACCACACACACCATACACACACACCACACACACACACATCTCATACACACCTCACACACACCTCACACACACCTCCCCCAACGCATCATCAGGACAACTACCCGGAGATGCTCTCAGTGAAGCTCTTCCTCAACGTCCCCCGGCTCATGGAGGTCCTCTTCGGGCTGTTCTCAGCACTCACAGACGCAGAAACGCGCGCAAAATTCGTCATGGCATCCCCTGCACGCGCGCGAGCCGTACTGCTGCAGTACATTGACCCCGTGCAAGTGCCGCAGAGGTGGGATGGGTTGTTGGGGCCATCTTGTTCTGGTGGTTGCGGTTCGTGTTTGTCCTTGTGTATGTCTGTCAAGTGGGACTGATGGTAAAAAGAGGGGGCCTTGGGGGATGTGGGAGTGGGGATGTGATGCGAGGGAGGTGAGGGGGCCGTGGTGGAGGGGAAGAGGCGGGGGGAATACGCCGATGCGTCAGCTGCTCGAAAGGAGCACTGGCACAAGAAAACACAAAAGGTCTCTGGTGATGGCTGCCCTCTGGGTCCTTTTCCTCTTTACTCTCAAAAAACCCTAAAACCCTAAAACCCGTCGCGGCATCGGCCGATTAGTGGATATGTACGGCGCATGTACACGAAAACACACGCACACGCACATTCACATTAACATCCCCAACACTTGCGCTTCCCGGCCCTTTTAACATGCATACATACATACATACATATCATAACAGAACATATCTTAATATAACATACCTACCTACATACATACATACATACGTACGGGTTCACAGGTTCGGCGGCTTCCTGGAGACATGCTCGATGCCACCCAACCGGGGTCGACCCAACTCCTTTTCCTTGGGCAGCAAAAAGGCGAGTTGCCCCCGGGGGTTGAGTGGTGGTGGTGGTGGGACCCTCAGGGGGGTCTCGGGGGTCGGAAAACACCTCGTACTACACCACGTAATCAACCACCTAGTACCGCTCATCGCCAACCTCCCAGCGCTCCTTCCTCCGCGCAAACACACACACGCACACACACGCGTCGTGTCGCGATCACGCCTTGTACCTCTCGATACATACCGACGAACTTCCACCGTGTGCCTCTTGACACTGTGGGCTGATAAGCCGGGGGCCCGGGGCCGAAACACAGCGCGGGGGGGCGGATGCACACGGCCGGTTAGTCGTCTCGTGCATTCCGCCCCCAGGTCAGGCCGCACGGGAAACGACAGCCGGCACACATCAGCGCTTCCCTCCGGGGGATAGCGCATGTATGTATGTATGTATGTATGTATGTATGTATGTATGTATGTATGTATGTGTGTACGTTTTCCTTATCGCAAAAGGCCCCACATAAGTGATTTCGCTCTTTCGGCCCTCCTCTCCCTTCGTGGTACACCTCCCCCAGACTGTTACACACCACCATATCAGTCAGTTAGTCAGTGGGTGGTTTGGACGTCGCCTTGTTTATTTTTTCCTTCTGGTCTGGAGTGATGGGTTTCCTCCCCCCCCCCCCGCCCGCAACCCCCGCGCCTCCGCGTCCTCAGGTAGTCCTGAAGGCCGGGGAGAGCCATGTGACGTCCAAGCTGGGGGCCCCCGACAGCGAGATGGTCTGGTGCTTCTGTACCACCGGACCGGAGATTAGTGTGTCCCTGCGCTTCAGGTGTGTTTATATATGTGTGTGTGTTTATGTGTGTGTGTTTATGTGTGTGTCAGTGTGTATTGTTAGATATCCTGCCGGGCCTGACGACACAGACCAGGGGGCTGCTGCCCAGCCCCACCGAACAAGACCGCCGAAGCATTCCTTTAGGCGGCGGTGTATACCCCTACCCCGTGTCTGTATGTCTGTATGTCTGTGTGTCTGTATGTGCATTCGGGGGTTATTGCACCTTTGTGTCCGTACTCGGTACTCCGCGCTTGCCCCCATTCCCCACTGAGCCACCCGGGCTGGTCGTTGACGGGCTGGACATTGACGGGCAGCTCACTCATGACGTGTCACTTGAAGATTTTTGACGTCACGGCACGGACGTCATGGCGCCTGATGCCCTGAGCAAAAAATAATAATTATTAAATTCTCCGGCATCATCGTCTTGTCATGATATGATTGCCTCGCCTTCGGCCTCGGCCTTTCCGCCAGACCTCTCGACAAGGGTGAGGCAGCTGCTGCCGCCGCGCGCCTCCCCGACCTCGTGCCGGGAGTGGCGCATCCGAACTCGAGGCACAGAGACGCCCAACACATCACCGAATCGCACCACATGTCGATTGTGAAGGACACGGCCTGCGGCCGACTGGTGCTGGGGTGAGTGAGGGGGAGAGAGGGGGGGTCGGTGCGGTACGGAGCGATCGTGTCGTGCAGGCTCCCACACTTCCTGTCCTCCTGTGTTTCGTCTTCATTCACTCTGTGTGTGTGTGTGTGTGTGTGTGTGTGTGTGTGTGTGTGTGTGTGTGTGTGTGTGTGTGTGTGTGTGCATCGGTCTTGCTGGGCTTCTGCTTCCCGAAGCTCCCGTCCACCCCGCCGCATTCTTTTTATATGATACGCCTTTGTTGTTGGGCTACTCCCTGCCTGCCTCCCTCCCAACCTGCTTGGCTCCCTCCCTCCCAACCTGCTTGCCGACCTTGGACCTACCCGCACGCCAACCGTTAACCACTCCTAACTACCACTCCAACCACTAACCTAAACACTCCTTTTCCTCCTAACAGCTTACTCTTAAACCCCCCCCGGTCGTATTCGCTTTCTAAATGACCTGGTGTATCTTCTGCGGCCCTCCCATGCCTTTGTCCCGCAAATCTAAAAATTCAAGGTCAACGGGTGAGGTGGTTATGACTATGGAATACAAGGGCACCTCGGGAATTTTCACCGCGGCCCAGCCCGTCACCATTCACTACTCCCTAGCGTCTAGTGACCCGGGGCTCGCCGGGCTGGGCCCCGGGGGCGCCTACCACCCCATGCACCCCTCCAACGATGGCGCCAACCCCGATGGCGCCACCGCCAGCGGCCGACTGTTCGAGAGCGGCCCTCTACGCCCCTTGGATTGGCGCTCTCGCATGCTGAGCTACAAGTCCATGGGCTGCTCGTCGTTTGCCAGCAATGATGTCGGCAGTGAGCCCAGTGCTATTGAGGCAGCTGCAGCTGCGGCGGTTGCGGCGGTTCCGCTGCCGCCAACGGCCCCAGCGATAACGCCGACAGACCTGGCCCAGTCGTTCACCGCCCCGGCCAACCCCGGCGTCTCCGTTGCCAACGGATCTACTACGGCGTCTTCTGCGGCGGCGGCCCCCGTGGCGACAAGTCGCTTTGCGGCGGCGAAGGAGTCCGGGTGAAAGCGGGATGGTGTCGTCAGAGTATGGCGGCGGGTTATTGTACATGGTACCGCGGCACGGCACGTCACGGTTGTTCATCATCGTCACGGAGTACCATGCTGGAGTGCATGTGGATGCATGAGGATTGAAGTCCCGGATTGAGGTCATCGGCGTCGTTGGCGTTGTCGGCAAGTCCGCTGTGGAAGCCTGACTGGGGGGAATACATGCCGATTGTACGGATGCGGACGAGATGTGGACCATGGAGATTATCCAGCGATTCTTCTTGCACTTGCACCCATCTCTTCCGGGCGGGCACCACGTCTAGTCCCCTCATCTTTTCGCGGCCATGTCCGTGTCAGGCCAGAACTCACGGGACTGTAGCTGCTGTCAACGCGTGCCATCCCCACTCGATTCAGTCTTTTTTGTTTTCTTATGGACGGGCTCTGGCTTCCACACACCGCCATGGCGCGACGTTGCGTCCGCTTTGTCGCAGTAGGGACTCCGCTTTCCGGGGCTACCGCCAGCGTATGTGGTGGTGGTGTGGTGGTGTTTCCTCTTGCTGTGTTACATTTATTGTGTTGTATTGCATTCGTTGTGTTGTCTTGTGTTGTGTTACACAGTTGCGCATGGCCCAGGGGACTATGTTATGCTTGGATTCATGTCATGTTGGTGATTCATGCATGTAGTACGGCACCGTAATACCCGGAGTGTTTTGGTAGACTGAGTGGCATGTGGTGTGCATATGTTTTGGTGAAGGGACGGGACCCGCTGCTTTGCAAGTGGGGGCTACGTTGCATGTGGATGGCGTGCAGGAATGGCGTTCCTTATCAGTAAGTTGTTCCAACCTTCTTGGCGTATCTTCGTGTCTTCATGTGTCGCATGAAGACCTTGACAAGAAGGAGCTGGGTTGCGGTTACTACAAGCCGTTGTCGCGACACAAATCAAGGCGTTCAGGAAATTCGTTGCCGCGAGTCACGACTATGTCTCGGTCTTTTGTCTGTCTGCCCGCCTGTTTGTCTGTCTGTCTGTGTACGGTTGGGGAGAGTGGATGAAAGGTTTTATTCCTCGGAAGCTATGGTCGACTAATATATTCCAAAGTGGTGTAGACTTTGTCGTCTCGTCTTTGATTTCATCCTCTTTACCATCCGGTGTGTCAGTTACCGTTTCTTTCACCCGACTCATGGCACCCATGCCGTTGTACGGCAACTGCCGTACGGCGCAATTCCCCTGTGGCAGCCTTTCAGGCTTGTCTCAGGTCTTTTTCAGGTCGGCTTATCCAGGAAGTGGTACCGGGACGGGGGCATTAAAACGCATGACTGGCTGCAGATTGATGCGACGAGCTGCTACAGGTTGGGACCTACCTCGGGCAGGCCGCAGTTCCGAGTCACCTGTAGTTGCGAGGAGGAAAAAGCCAGCCGCCGCTCTGGCGGTCTGTTGTGGCTTGAGGTTCTTAGATCCGCGAAGGGCAAAAGCGCAGGCGATGCGCGCTCACCATAACTATAACTAGGCGTTTTTCCAACGTTGAGATTGCTATAATCTTTGGCTTGCCGGGTAGGGTTCATAATGATATACCTTTTGTGGTCTCACAAAGTTTTGTTGAGAGCTCCTCATGAACGTTTAGTACTTAGTGCAACTAGCGTTTGGCCTACAAAAGTATTATATTCTGGCCGTTTGAAATAGTAAATTTTTGGGCAGCGCTTGTTGCGTATGCTTCCTGCAGGCCGAAGATTCCTCGGACAGGTATCGTGGGTGGTGACTAAAGAGGCTCGGAGATGGGTTTGTGCGCGGATCTGCCGCGCTGGCGGGGGACTGTGCGCTCGTATTGTGATTCATCCCTGCATTTTTGTGGTCGTCCTGAAACAGGTGCTTCTCTGGATAAAGATTTGACGCCTCCGTTGGTCGCTCCGGAATGGAACGAGGGTCGTCCTCGGCGCGTTGTTCCTGCCTGGCTCCTAGAGGCGCTGCGTCGTAAGATTTTTGCTTGCCACCCCTGGCATTTGCCAGGTGTACCTCTCGGAAATCTGGGAGGCCAGCCATGTCGCGCTGAGGCGCTTCGCCCTGAAGCGGACGAGGGAGGATGATGATGGCCTCCCGCGTACCCGCATCAATACTAATATAACGTCCATGGCCCCCCCCGGCTTTTACAGACACCCCCGCACTTGCGTGCGGTACTTGTAACTTGTAACTTGCTTGTACGCCCGTGTCGAACAAAAGAATACGCTGCACGTCGATTTTGTCTCTTCTCTGGACATCACCATAGCTCTCCGGTACGGTGTAGTGAATTGAGTGCATGCGCGGAGCAAATACAGATATCCGCGGGTGTTATGTAATTGATTTTTGATCAGAGGGCTTAGGGCATAAGAGGGCTTAGGGCAACAGGCAGCCCTCTGACAGGAGGCATGTTAGACATTCCACTTTCTCTGTCTAGCGGATTTTTTGGACCGAATATTAGAACCCCAACAACGCGACGCAGATCATATTTAGAGGGACCACATAACGGTTGTTGCAGTGGGCTCTGTCTTTAGCGAACATCAGGATTTTAGGTTTGGTGTGTGCAGTAGTTGGGATGCGCAGTTTGAAGCTGTCCACGTAACTGCACCCACATGGGACCATGGGACATAGTATCACACGGCCGCCTACAGGACGCCTTTAGGACCGGATCTGCCACCACGTCAACTGGTTATGGAGAAGCGCCAACAGCTCCCAACCTCCGATAGATAGAGCCCCTGCGCGGCCTGGGCAGTGTGCTTAAGGCGGTTACGGTCCACCAGGCTTGCCGTCAGCGCGATGACGATATGCAGGATGCAGGATGCAAGACGCTACCGTAACTGCAGGTGGTGAAATTGATGCGAATTGATTGCCATTAGGGTCTTCTGACAACTGGCATCGTGGCCACGGCTGTGCATGAGCTCCATGGTGGTCCCACGTGAATCGCCCACAGGGACCTCTTCTGCCGCTTCTAGCTGCTGCTGCTGCTAATGATGATGATGATCTCCTGCTGATGGTGCTGTGGTGGCGGTTTCGACGGCATGTGGTGGTGGTAGTGGCAACAGGGCAGGTGGTGGCCGCGGTGGGCACTGCCGCGGCAGTTCCCTGGCCAGATGTGCGTCGAGCCGCCGACTACCGCATTGCAGGACTTGCATCTGCAGCAGCTGCCGCATTAAGCCAATAGCCTCAGCTGAATAGTCAGCTTGGTGTTGACTGTCCTCTTGACTATAGTCATGGTGTTGGCAATTTTGTTGACTCTCCGGAAGTCACAATCTCACTTCTTGTGTGAGAAGTTGTGCAGTGCAACAAAATGATTTGCAGCTGACGCATGTCTGATGTGCACTTCAGAAGGCGGTAGGTCCAACTCAGTCCAACAGCTTCTGCATGGATGTATGGCTTGCAGTCTATTCAACCATCCAGCTTTCGGAAGCTTTGTTGGTTGTGTATGATGATGGAAGCTTTGATTGGTGGTAAGGTGGTGGCCACCGTTGCGAAAAGCAATTTTTGTTTTGGCCGGTAAGATTTGCACAGCATGGGCGCAGCACGGACAGCATGGGAGCGGAATCCGGTTCACGAGCAGCGTGGGGGAGAGGAAATCCTTTCTTGCATACGAGCGTTGTTTCTTGTAAGATGTCTACATGGGGAAAATCGACGATACTAAAGTCGGTTGAACACGATGCAAATGATGGACCTTGAAGGCCCCCAAAGTTCCCAAGGGCTTACCGCCAGGTCTAGGAATATTTCTTGTTGGCTTTTGAGGTAATTCCAATAAATAACGTAACGGGTTCATTCCTGCTGCTAGGTACGATGAGCTGCTGGCGCCTGTGACTTCAAAGGACAACGATACTAGTTTTAACCGGGCTTCAGCTACGTACTCGAATCTTGTAAGTCTCATCTTCTAAAGCCGGTGGTGGGGCATAGCAGGAGCTTGCAGTTTTGGCGCGCGGGAGACGGGTCATGAGCAAGTTTTAAAATTGATGGTAGTGTTTCCAGGCTTAATTTGTGATTTACAAAGCATAATAGCTTTGGTATGAAGCTGGGGCTGGGCTCGTGCGCCATGGATAGGATGTACCATGGCCACGAAATGAGTTGTTAAGCTTCAAGTCACCAGGGGAACGAAAAGGGGGAGTTTCCGGGAGCTTGGTGGGCTGCGCAGCGGTTGACGCATGGGAGGCTGTGGCAGGATAAACCTTTTCCCTTTCCTCAACGTGATTGTACCCCTTTCCCTACCCCCTTCCCTCGAAATTGCATGTACTCCCGGCGCTCCTGCATTCCTACTCAAAAGGATGATCGCTTCCGCGCCGCAAAGCGCTCCTATGAGCGGCAGTATGCACAGCTTTACTTCTCTCGCCTCATGCTGCTTAAGGAGGTCATGCTTGCCCGGGTGCAGCAGCTCTGGCCCGGCGTTCCAGGTGCGGTAAAAGATAACACGCGAGAAAATTGCTTCACCCCGCGGTACCTGCCTGTGGCTGACCTACTTCCCCTGCCGGGGCAGACTGCCCGCGTAAATTATCGCCCCTCCCCGGCCCGATGAAATGATCGTATTCCCCAATCCCCATAGCTCTCTCTGCTTTCATTTTCATCTTACTTTCCCCTCGTATCATGCGGCTTCGGCCCTTGCGTTGTTTTTTTAATGTCAGGGTCGGTATTGACCCGTCGTGGCAAAAAATCTCTCAATCCATTATCGGCGTGATTTGCGGCTTAAACAAGGGGCACCCTTTTTTTGAGGGGACCAAGAGGGGACCAATTTCTCCCCACTCCCATCCTGCCTGATGCTTGCCGCTGTACGATCCCCTCCCCGTCCCAATCGCATGTGTCTCGCGCTCCAGTGTGCACCATCCTGGAGGTCCCGGAGAGCAAGGAGGTGGCCGTCATAGGGACTGTGTACAAGAACATGAAGTGGGTTGCCGGGACGGGGCCGGGGGAGAGGGAATTCTGGCTGTGTGGAAACTGCACTCCCTGGGGCTGTCGGCGCGCATACGTCCCCATGCTACGTCCTGCATTCTTCATCTGCTTTGTGTTTTTAAACTTGGAACCTTGGAACTCCCGCTCCCCCAGCCCCTTTGCCTCATGCGCCCTGTGTCCCTGCGCGCACATGAATACATGAGCCGCAACCACACTGCCCACGCACGCCAACGAGACGCTATTAGGGTTCACTAGCAGCACGCAGGCTGTTGTGAACTTAGTCGTATGCTATCCTCGAAACGACTGTTCCCGCCCGAGGCTCAGATCGTTAAGCATAATTTACACTTTACTACTGAGGCAAGGGGGTAAGAGCAAGGGGGTAGGAGTCCAGGGGCGAAAGAAACGTCGCGTGTGAGTGCGTGCTTCCCTTTCGGTCGTCTTCCTCGTGCGTTCCGTTACTCCCATTACTCACGCACTCAGGCTCAAGCCCAGTATTCTGGATGAGTACTCCAAGGACCGGGGCCTGAAGGCCGCCCTGGGCGCAGCTAATTTCTGCAGCGGCGACGACAGCTTGGTACTGGAGGATGAGGGGGCGCGCATGGTGCTGCGGGACGTGGCGGGGCCGGGCCCGGCCGGCGGGTCGACCACCTCGGGGGGTGGCAGCGAGCCGCTCAACGTGCAGGAGATCGTGACTGGTGGGTATGTTTTCCGGAAGAAGACACAGATCGCGCATTGTGGGCAGGTGGGCAGGTCGGTGTGTGCTCGCGATGAAGGAGTTGGGCTGCCGTGTTGGCAGCTGCTGTATACTCCTCCAGCCGCCAACACGGCAGCTGGAGCAACACGGTAGCTGTGCTCCAGCCGCCAACACGGCAGCTGCTTGAACGCGTACATCACCTACGGTAACCATGTTCCTCTGCCACTGATCCATGTGCCATGTGCCCGACCTGGGGTGAACTGCTTTCGGGCTGCGTACGACTTCAGGGTTGGTGCTGGCGGTGCGGGGTGTGCACGAGCCCGGCGGCGACTTCATTGTCAACGCCGTGTGCTTCCCTGGCATGGCGCCCAACCCGCACCCGCTGCCGGCGCCGGTGCCGCACCGTGCGGCGGCAGCAACAGCAGCTGTGGTGGCTGCTGGGGCACCCGGTGACAAGTACGTTGCTCTGGCCTCGGGGTTCTGCCTTGGGTCGAGCAAGGCGGATATGCTCAAGGTAAGATTCGTGGGCGCGGAGGCGTTCGTTCGTTCTGACGGTGGTGTTCGTGGTCAGGCTTTGACTTTTTTGTCTCCTTTTCCCGCGGTTAAACATTTTCGGCCTCAACTTGTAGATTTCGTGTCAAGTTTCGTCAAAACAGAAGTCGACATTGTTATAGCAAAGCCCCCCCGTGAGGAGTATAACACCCGTATGGGCATATCCTGTGTCTATTTACTTTCCCAGACTCAACTGGCGCTGGACTTCCTGACTGGCAACCTGGGCAGCCCCGTGGAGCAGCAGCTCAGTGCACAGGTATTGTGCGCATCATGTGGCTCGATCCAGGCTCAGACAAGGCCTGGGGATGCTTTCGTTTCTCTCGGGGGGGAGGGAAAGAAAAGTGGACACGGCTGTGGAAAAGAAGTGGCGCGGCGTCTCGCGCGTGCTTCAAACGAGAGTCTCCTGAGCACTGAGCCTAATGTTTACTTGATTCTCAACCTTGCAGTTCCACATTCTATACTCTTTATTACGCTCTTATTGTGTACTCACTAGCACCCACTAGGAACGAAAAGCAGGAGGAAGAAGCATTTCGCAGTTGCAGCAACGCCAGGTACACGCTTTTGCAGTCCTGGAAGCAGCAACTCCCCGGGAATGCTTGGATGTTTCGGATGCGATTGCAAAGGGCCTCTCCTTCCCCGCAGTGCGTTTCGTGTCCTCAGTAGCCAATACATGTACGAGAGCCTCTTGTGGTACAGGAGCATTTCTCGCGGTTTTCCTAAGGAGGAGTATTCAGTCTCTTACCTTGGGATGTGTCTGGACCCACGGCGGGGGTTGGGCGCTGTGGCTTCGTTTGCAGATTGTGCGGCTGGTGGTCGCGGGCGGCTGCATTGGCCAGTTGGAGGCGCTGGCGGGTGGCGGCGGCGGCGGTAGCGGCTCGTCCAATCCTTACAACCGTCAAGCGCAGGGCGTGGCGCTGCAGCCCGTGCGCGACCTGGACCTCCTCCTGGCGGAGCTGTCTGCGGGCATGTCGGTGGACGTGATGCCAGGGGCAGAGGACCCCGCTAACGTCGCACTCCCGCAACAGCCCATGCACAGGTGGGTAGGAGAAAGAGAACCGGTGCCATCAACGATATGTTGGTTGTTAGGAGGGGAATAGCACGGCAGATACCTTGCCATGAGGCAGGGGCGTGTTGATGACGGTCGAGGGCCAACCTAAGGTGCTTATATAGCACACCAAATCCATGGAGGGACTGCTTTGTGAACGTGTTATATATATAACTTCAGATATATATATATATATATATATATAACTTCAGATCGGCGGATGTCAGAATCCCTTGATATGCCCGGGATACTACAGAAGGGACACCCACCATTGTGGATGTTTGTGCAAGTGCACATATAAGGGCTTCACATTGGAGTGCGTACCCACTTAGGTGCAAAACACGTTGTTCTTGACACGAACGCACAAATGTTTCCTGCCGCGCCCCTGTTCTGCTGGCTGGTTGGAGAGAGACTGACGAACTGCTGGCCCACCTCAACTGACAGGTGTCTTTTCCCTGCGGCTGGGATGCAAGGCTCCTTCGTGCGCGCCACCAATCCTCACGAGTTCGAGTCGGACGGTGTGCGCTTGTTGGGTTGCAGCGGCCAGAATGTGGACGACATGGCCAAATACTGCGGCATTCGGGATAGGTGCGCAGCGAGAACGGAACTATGTGGCTGCCTCTTCCTGCAGCTTGGATCTGTTCTGCCTCCTCGCTCCTCGCTCCCTCGGCCAGGTTTTTTTCTTGATTTTGTAAATGCGGCTCAAAATGCGGCAAATTAGTTTTCTCGTTGTTCTCCTTTGCGTGTGCTGCCGGCCGCGTGTGTAGCGCATTCATTCGCTCCCTTTCTCATGTCGCGATTCGGATCCTCTGTGGCCCCGCTGCGATGCTGCTTTCCAACACCAACACCCGCACTTTCCTGTCGCCCAAGACTTCACCTTTGAAAAGCATTACACCGAACTATATGATTAGCGTTGGGCTTTGCTCGCAGTTGGGTCATAAGCGTGTCTAAGTCTGGGTGTTCCTAGGCTTTCCCTTCATCATCTGCTGCTGCCCCGTTTTCCAGAAGTATCCTGCTACTGTCTCGCCCAGTGTTAACGTTTGGGCTTTTCCAGCCATCATTTGGGCTTTGGACTGTCCAGGAAAGCGTCGTTGTTGTTGTGTTTCTTCTTCTCCCTTCTGTGATGTATCGAGCCGCGTGTTATGGTGAGATACTTGGTGTAATAACGGTCCGTGGTTACTCCGGCTTTGACGGACCCCTCCGCACCTGTGCGGACACTGTAACTTGTATTACGACACTTGGTTCGCAGGTTGGACATCATGCAACGCTCTGTGGAGAGTCGCCACATAGCCCCCACCGCCCCCGACACCCTCACCTGCTACCCCTTCCACGACAAGGATCCCTTCATCTTGGAGACCACTCCGCACGTCTACTTTGTGGGCAACCAGCCTGAATTCGCGACAAGGCTGTTGGGTGGCGGGTCGGCGGCAGGAGCAGCAGCAGCTGCAGGGCCCGTTGTGCGGTTGGTGACAGTGCCCAGTTTTGTGCGCACGGGGACGATCGTGCTGATCAACCTTCGGACGTTGGCGTGCCATCCGCTTCGGTTCGACGGCACTTTGGGTTTGTAAGGATGGAAGGAGACGACGGCTGGGTGTGGTGGTGGCTTGGGTGTTCAAGATGGTGTTAGGGATGGGGCTGGCGGTGTTGGTTAGACGGTCGTGGATACCTTTCCTCAATGGTGATTTGTGTGTGAGGGGGTGTAGTGGCGATGGTGGTGATGATGACGGCGGTGTCGAGGGTTTGGGAAGACACAAACTTGTGCGAAACCCAAGCACGGACAGTTTAGGAGGCTGAGGCAGATGAGTCGTGGCGACTGTATGCGGAGGCCGTTTTGGCGAGTTTTGCGGTGCAAGGACTTGACCTTTGGATGAAAGCGTTCATGCGTCTGTTCAGGCCTTCTGCGCGGCTCCTTTCTGTTGGTGAGATTTTCGGACCGGCAATCCAAGGTTGACGATCCCCCTTGGTTAGGCCTGATAATCGGGACAAGACTAGGCACCATACAGTTTGGTTGGAACGTGTGCGCTATGTTAAGTTAGGTGCATTAAATTAGATACCAGTCTGCGACTTTTTGGCTGGAACATTTCTTGGCTGGATTCTTAGTAGCCTAGAATACGTGGATGAAGGACGTGTATAAACCTTCCAAAACCATGCTAACAGATTTCCACAATACTACACCATCAAGGAAACCGCCTCCTGCTAGTAAGTGGCAATAAAAAGCAAATAGGGCCGGGTCATCCGTGAACAGCACAGATGCAGTCTTCTTAATTATCGGGATCCCCCCGTCTGGCACACTTAGCTAGGGTTCAGACTGGTCAAATGAGAGGATTGCAAGTCCGCCGGAGCAGGGATCTAGCCGAAACTTGACCAGGTCTGCATCTCAAAACGCGCTCTTGGCAATGCGTGGGATCTGCAAGCATTCCGCCTCTCTTCGACCCCCATTCTCCGCGGCCAGAGCACCCTTATCGTAAGCGTCCCCCATAGAGCTTGATGTTGACGGATTGCATTGGGACGCTAAGATCGGGTCATTCCGATGTTGTTTGCAGGTTGCAGAGCAGTTCGTGCTCTTGTCATAACGTCCTTTATTAACCTGTTTCCCAACGTCGGTAGAAGGCCTTCCACCTTCTTTGAGCTGAAACACAGTCGATTTCTACCGTTTCCTTGTCCTACCACTGTTTCTAGGTACTGGCGCCATTTTGCTTCTTCCTTAAAGGAAAGCAAAACCGGTAATTATTGAAGTCAGTTCAGACCCAATCAGACCAACGATTGCGCCCCTATCTGCACAACAAGCACAACATCGCTTGTCCGTGGTCTCAGCCCCCAGAAGCCCGAACCCGTGGTCGTTAATTGGCCGTCCCGCCTATAACTTGAGTGCACTCGCATACCCAGTCACGTTCTCTCCCGCAGACAGACTACTGACGAAGGCCGGGCTTTGTACGCGGCTGCCGCTTTGCCGCAATGCGGTACAGATCCTCCATCTCCTCGCCCTCCTCCCCCTCCTCTCCCTCCGTCGCCTCCTCCTCCCCTGCGCCCTTTCCATCCACCATCTGCTTGTCAGAGCGTACAGCGCCCACACCCGTCCGCTGCCGCTTCCGCCATCGCTGCGGGTCAAAGAGCTTGCGCCCTATCCTCTGGTTGGGCATCCGGCAGTCCGTCGGGTGAGGCTGCCGGCTGGGCTGGTTCATGACCAACCGCTCACCATCAGACCCACCGGACTGGGGCGGCCGCTGCACACCACCGATGTCTACCGGGGAATCAGCGGCGACCGCCGCCTGTGCCACCTCCAATGCGCTCTGCACGCCTGTCTGCACAGCACGCACTGCGTCAGAGGGTAGACTGTTGCTGGACAGCAACCGCTGCAGCTGCAGTAGGTCCCTCAATGCCCCTTGCGCAGGGTTGAGCGCCACACCACCCGCTCGCATGGCAGTGGCGCCAGGGTACAGCGAGAGTGGCGCGCTGAGGCCCCGCAGTGTGACGGACTCCTCCCTGCCCAGGTGAGCCACCTTGGCGGCGGCAGGGGCGCCGAGTCCCCTGCCAGTCGAGGAAGGCACCTCAGAGTGCAGCTCCAGTGAGAAGTCCGTGCCGGCAACTGGTGACAACACCTTCCGAGGCACACCTTCCTGTCGTGACACCTCCGCCGCCACGGTGTGGGTGCACTGACCGTGCATGGTAGGGACGAATACACGCTGTCCGTCGCAAGGGGGCATGAATGCAGACAGACTGGGCAGAGGCGTAATATCGGTGCCGAAGCCACAGGTCACGAGGCCACTGTCGCCATTTGACGGCATCACGGCTGGGTCTGCACGGTTGTGCCTGCACGCCTGATTTCTCGCCCGGGACTGCCCCAGCCTCAGCCCGTTGGCACAGCTCCTGGTCCGTAAGCTTGTACTGGACGGTGCCGCTGCAAGCAGCAGACCGTACGAAGGTCTGCGTGCCCTGGAGATCCTTGTGCTGGTGGTTCCGTGCACGCCTATAACGCGCTTGAATCATCTCGACGTCTCCCACCGTTGGGTTGAAGCGCCGAGACACGGCCGCTGTCTCAGGCATTAGACAGCCTGCGGTGATGTATGGCCGCGTGTAATCTGCGAGGTTATCCTGCACTAGCTGGCGCACCTTGGCGGGCTTGTGCGCGTGCCTGCATGGGATCATGAAACGAGGAAGGAAAGCCAGGGGATAGAGGGTAGTCCAAATAATCAAAACCGCTCCTCCATTGCCACGCCTCGGTCATTTGCTTTATCCCCCCTTCACTGCCGCGACACCTGTGACCTAATTGAAGATGAAACCCTCGATGGCCTTGACCACCTCGGGGACGAGGCGGAGATGGGGCTCGTCCTCCTGACTCCCGGGCTGGTGGTGACGATGCGGTGCCAGCTCCTCCACCAATACGGTCTGTATATCGTGGGTTGTGACCGACAGCCGGAGCTCAAGCGGACAGCCCACCCGCCGAGAGATGCGGCGGGCGCCCTCTGGCAGCTTGTTGGCATGCCGGGATTGTCGGCAGCAGCACTCGAGCGAGCATGCTGCATGCTTGCGCTGCCTGGGGGTAGGTTCAGGATATGGCTCACCGCTGGCCATCGAGCTCAGCACGTTAGCTGCCGGACCCCACAGGTGGATGCAGGAGAGGTTGTAATCCACAGCGTCCTCCACTTGGAGCCGCATAAGGAAGCCCATCAACTCCAGGCGTGGCACGCGCCATGTCCGATGCCCGTCTCCAGCAGCACCAGGGTGTCCGCCTCTGCTTTTCCCTCCCTGGAACCGACTCGTGGCGCGTCCATGGCGACTGGCGCGTCAACCGCAGCGGTGCCGCCACGCAACCACTTCCAAGCGCCGTGAGCACGTCCCCAACGCCCCCCCCCCAGCGTATTGTTTAAGTATCTCGGTCTGGCGGGGTGTCATGAATGGTGCGCCCAGCTCCACCTTGCTGATGACGTTCAGGAAGCGCGCCTCGACGGCTGTCGCCTCTCCAGCCTCAACTCCCTCCTTGTCCACGAAACACACGCTGGCCCTCTGTCCTCCGAGATACCCGGGTTGCAAAACCCCGACACTGCAGGAGTGGGTGCCGCCGCGAACCACCACCGCCTGCCTCGTCCCGTTCGGGATGGGCGGCGAGCGCATGTCACTGCCCCCAAAAGGACACGTCCGGAGGGCAGACAGCACAATCGCACGCTGCCGAGTGCCATAGGTCACGATACCACGCGTGCCTTTTGGAGTCAGTGACAAGAGCTGCGCCTGGCGATTGGAGTTGATGTTGATGACAGCTTTGCCTGGTGCGAGGCTTGGCGACTGGTACGCAGGAAGCGCCACGCCTTCCTGCTGGCGGGAGACGAGGAGGGAAGGCGGCCTTTCCGCAAGGGAGCATCTTGCCAGAGTGCTCAGGGTACGAACAAATTCCCGTCTGACCCATGCGTAACTTCTTTCCGGTCACTTACATAACATTCTGTAGCACCCACCTGGAGGGTTGTTGCTGGCGAGACTGATGTTGTTGTTGCTGCTGAAGCAGTGACAGTCGTCGCTGCTGGTTGCGTGTGCTCTGTAGAGACAAGCTGCAGGTACACGTCTGTCGCTCCGCTGAGCACGCCCGCGACGCCAAGCATACCACCTTCTTCGCGTCTGTCGGCGTCTTCGGCCTCGCCTCTGTCGCTGACCTCGCCTATGTCGCCGGCCTCGCCTTCAGAGCTAGACCACCATTCATTATAGTCGGCAGACATTTCACTGACATAGCCGTCGCTGTCCGCCTCTGCAACTGGCCCATCCTTAGCGTAATGCATGGTATGGGTCTGTGGAGAGAGGTATGGCCATAAGATGGAGGACTAGGGCTCCGTGGGAAAGGTTGCATCTGCGTGGGGACGGGCGCACCTTGGTCTGCAGTAAGCTGGTGGCCATTTTAGCAGAAATGATCTCTATTAATACTAAAGGGTGTTACCCAAAAGAATTGCAAGGAGAACGTGAGGCTTGGGCGGCCACCTCGGCAATCGTCACCAACCTCGGCTGCGTGCAGGATCCAGGGCACCTTCACGTTCAGCTAGTTATTTAATGATATGGCCATATTTGCCTTGCCCAGCAGGCGAAGTTTCAGCGTTTGCGGATCTGGCCAACGGCTTCGTACGCTAAACGGAGCGGTATTGCGCCTTAGTAACAGTACCGCAGTAACCGCTAGAGATTCCCAAGTCCCCGTTCATCGTTCTGCTCCAAGTTCCAAACATTAATTAAAGCAGTGGAAGACCTCTAATCTTATCATATCAACAAAAAATGGAAGAAGCACCCGAGCCAGACTTGGCCCCATCGCGCAGCTGGACAGATTGCACAACTGGCCCAACCAAACTGGTCATTAAAAACATCAGCGGAAAGCGTGTGCAGGTATGCCCTATTTATAGGACTGTTCCGTCGCTGCTTCGACCCACCTTGTTTTTGCAACACCCGCAGCTGGTCTGGCTCTCGTATGACGGTGCCGAGCAAGTTTACAACGTAATAGAAGACGGCCAGGAGGCGCACCAAGGCAAGTTGCCTGAGCACATCGAAAGGGGCGTCGGGAACTGCCGAGTGCACGCTGGGGTTCCCTCGCCGTCGCATTTCTGCCAGAACTGCCGAGGGCCGCTGGCCTAGCTTGCGTGCGACAAGGCTAACCCCCTAGTGCCAGAACGATAGAAATGACAGGACTTTGGAAATGCAGCATCGGTTACAATTGTGGTATGACGCAGCGCGGCGTTTGATGTCCTACCCGGGTAGGACAGGTCCGGGCCGGACAGGTTAACTTTCCCTCTCCAGCAGCAGATCGGAGGGAACACATTCCGAATCCCCTGAACCTTTTGGACACATAATACGAAATCACCGCATAACACCCCGCTCCTGCGCGCTGGTCCTACCGCACCCCGGTCCTGCGGCTTGCACCCACGCACCCGGCCAGCCCAGCCATCAGTTTAGCATGGCAGAGCATCTCCCGCCCCAAACTCTCCCCGGCCCACGCACCCACAACCCGCGCCCTGCTGCTTCAGATACCTACTCTACGCACATCTGGGAGCTGCGCGATGAAGACGGCGTCCGCATCGTCCAATACGCGGGTAGGGGGACACCGTAATAACTTACTGCTCAGACACAAGCTTCTTCCCCCCGCGCACACGCACACACACACACACCGTATTAACCCACCAACCCCGTACATCCGAGAGGGACTCTTAGCAGCGCCTGGCCTTTACTTTTGCTGTCTGTGCGGGTTCCCTTTGCACAGGCGACCACATCTAGCTCCGGGACTGCACCCCATGTTCTCAGTCGCGAACTCCTTGTTCTGCAATAGAACCATTCCAGGGGCGGTTCATGGCTCGGGTGCCAAACACATACACACCTACCAGACAAGCCACCTACTGGATGATGTGTGCACAGCACGAGCTAGCGGAAGAAAGGAACGGCGGAAGGAATCCCAGCGTAATAGCGGAAAGCATGTGGTATCCATGTACGGTGACGCCATGCGTGGGAGTGTAAATGGCCGTGCCACCTCAAAGCGACGCACACTAGTGGGACCCCGGGTGGCAGTCCCCTTCAATTCCTTCCCCCGCCGCCATCCGCAACCCTGCTCCAGCTTCAGATCCACTCTTCCCCGGGAGGATTTGAACTTCCTTGCCAAGTAGCTCTCAGGCTCAATCCCCATCCTCTCTGAGTCTGCCCCTGCCTGTATGCACCACACGTTCTGGGCCTCGTCTTCGCAATGCGTGGCCTACCACCTACCTAACTCGCTACGCTCCTGGGGCTGCTCTCCACCTCCTCCTCGCTGTGACAACACCCCACAATACAGGGCCCCCCGCGAAGCTGTACGTGTTGCAGACCGGTGTGAGCATCATCGCAACACCAGCGGCTGCTGCGGCTGCTGCGGCTGAAACCGGAGAACCGCCTGCTGCACAAACCTCATAGGAAAGCGGAGTGAACTGAAGCCATAATCAAAATATAGCGGAGCGACGAGACGCACATCGTAGAGGTGTGCAGCGACACAGCCGCGGCGTCAGCAACTTTACAGGTCGGCCCCAGGCCTTGGCCTGCACCTACTTTGCAGGGCGTCTCTAAAAAACCCATTTCATGGTGGGATTGAGGGGACCGCGGCTGTCTGCTATCATCATCTGGGAAACGAAGCGACGGGCCATCTAACCGATCCTATTACCCATTTGAGTTTCAAGGAGCAGATGGGCTCCACCACAGCCACAGTAGGGAGGCAGTATCTGGGCTGGCCACCGCTGGCTGCCAGCAGCCAGCGTGGGAGAGTAAGTGTAGGGAGGCCGTTGACTCCCAAGGCCACGTGGGGCCGGCGTATTGTAGCTCTGCATTCCCAGTCCGTTCTAAACAAGTCGTCGAGGGGAGGCAGAGAGTCCTAACAGGACTCGTAGGACTCACGCGGACAAGGAGGAGGATACGTTGCGGACTTTATGCGGCTGTTTATTGCAGCGGCCGAAGAGGGGCTGCCACTTTCCTGGACTTGCTCTTGCCGCTCTTGCTTTCTGCCCGATGGCAACCGAAGCCCCTACATATACTGTGCCGCGGCTTTTGTCTTTCCCAGATGTGATGTGATGTGATGTGATCTGATGTGATGCGGCGGTTGGGGTGTTCCTGGCGTGGGGAACACTCCCGCGCGTTTCACTGGATTTCACTGATTGTGTGACAGCGATTTCAGACAGAACCTCCATGGGATCTCCAGAGCGTGCTACATATGCACTTCACACCAGATGCATCCACACAATGTGACCGTTCTGTCAACATGTATAGGTAGGGGGTGTCGATTTAGGTGTGCTTATGTGTGTCTGCCTGTATGTTTGTAAACATGTCCCGAGGAAGCGCACGAACCAGCGAGAGTGAGAGTGCATGGCGGCATGGTGGCAATACAATGCCAGCAACATCGGTCTCCCTCACAAGGTTTCTCACGAACTCAAGCCTCCTTCCCGAAGTTTGGGCCTCCCTCCAGGAACGTTTTCGCCGCCTCTGTCCTCGACATCTGCGGATCGAAGCACACATGCACCGGAGAAGAAAAGCACGCTCTCGCAGGCCTCAAGATACCTCCAGCAGCTGAGGATAGCGAAGGCCCCTCCTTGAAAGTAGGCTTAATAGCTAATAAAGCGCTAAGTAGTTAAAAAACGAAAAAAAACGACAGTATGAATCGTCGTCCGCATTATCCACCATACAAACAGCTGCAATACAAACTACTGTACTCCCTTCACGGTATTTCAGTTCACTTCACCTTGAGCTTTCCGGTAGTCTTGTCAAGCTCCAGTTTGAGACCCAACTGCCGGAGCTCCGGCGTCTCCACCGCCGTCTGCAGCTCCAACCCTGCGATACGCCCTTGCACCTGACATTGATTCGGTGAAAGGACATTCTTCAGCGCACGCGAAGGACCTCAGGCGGGTCAAGGGGAAATGATAAGTTGAGGTCAGGGACAGCGCAACACTGCATAATAATGCAGTGCAATAAGACGCAACACAGCCCACATCATGACCGCCGAGGAACCGATCCTCGTCTCACCATGCTCCTAGCTCAACACTTCTCCCTACCCACTTTCAGCGCTTATCAGCGATCCCCATTTCCCTTCTCCCCATCCCCCAAATGCAGACGAGGGCGGTGGCCATCGGATCGACCTCATGCCCACAGCCCACGGCCATCCACATACCCACCGGGGTTTTTCCCCCAGCACAACCCCCCTCACACACACCCTTCGCTCGCTCCTGACCTCGCCAAGCACCAACCAACCCTGATCCCCGCACCCGCACCCCCCCATGTGCTCACTTCCTCGCTAACTTCACACATATTCCTCACGCCCCACAGCGCCCACTCCCGCGCCAAGGGGCTGTGCTCGTCCAAATGGGTTTGTGCCAACAGCAACTCCAACCCGCCGCCAGACAGCAGCTCCGAAACTACCAGGGGCCGCCGGAATGCCCCATTGGCCAGCACCGAAACCAGGTCGCCGCGGTAGCCCATGTATGCCGCGCGCGTGGGAAAGCCCGCCGCCAATGCCTTGAGGGTGTACGGCAGCTCTGCCACAGGACGGTCGCCTCCGGCGGCAGATCCGGAGGCAGCTGCAGTGGCGGCCCCGCCGCCGCCGCCATTTGCTTGATGTCGCCGCGCCGCCGCAGGCTGCATAGCTGCCAACATGCCCAGGACAAGTTCCAGCACACCGCCTCCTCCTCCTCCTCCTCCTTCCCCGCCCCGGGGTCCTGTCCCGTGTTTGCACAACAGCCACTCTACCAGGTCCATGTCAATGCCAATGTCGCCGCCGATGATGGCCCGACACCCGTCCTCTCGCTGTGTTGCGGACTTGAGCACCTGGGGTGGAACGGAACGAGAGAGTGTGTGGGGTGGGATGTGGGGTGTGGGGCCCTGGGGATGAGGTTGACTCAATCAAGCTAATATAAGCGGCACCATGGACAGCAATGATGTGAAGTAAACTGAGTTAAGGTCTTGGTTGAAGGGAATAGCTCTTCTGAAAAGATACAAGCAGATATGTGTGGCGTCTCTATAGCTTAGTGGTAGAGCGTTCCCTTCGTATCAGAGGATCAGGGAAAGGTCCTGAGTTCAATCCTCAGTGGGGGCAATAAATTTACATTGGTTAGGCATTATTGATAGAGCGCACATCTATGCCCCCAGGATAACTATCGAGACCTGTCAGGGTTCAAAAATCTTCCGATGGTGGAAGGTAAAGTGCCCCTATCGACGAACGGTGGTGACCTGAGATAAAGTCGACCAGTCCATTGGATGCCACCGAGAAGTTGACTAGGGTGACTGGATGAGGGTGCCCCGAAATACCGGGGAAAGCAGGGTCTGCCGGGTAGCGGCCGCAGGGTGAAGATATGAGCCCCTGTGTCCCACACATCACACTTGAGTGGAGTGGCTGTGGAGCTACCCCCTACCTCCAGACCTGCCTCCAGCACAGCCTCCGTCTCGTTAACCTTCTTCCCGCTGCCAGTGCCACCGGCGGCTAGACATCTCGCAGTAGCTTCCACTACTGCCGCCACGTGCAGCAACGCCGAGGCTAAGGGCCGTGCCGCCGGCGGCAGCGCCGCTACCGGCGTGACGCCGCCGCCGCCGCCCGTCGACACTGGGCCCCCCCCGTGTCCGTTGCCCGCCACTGCTGCCGCTGAATTCGCCGTCACCGCCGTACCAGCGGGACCTAGCTCTAGCTTACCTACCGAGCTGACGGCCACCTCTACCTCTCTCATCTGCAGCTGCAGACCGGCGGACGGACAGCCGCCGGCGGCGGCTGACAGACAGACTAGTCCCGCCGCTTCCGGGCCCCGAGGCGACGGCGGCGGCGGCGGCGGCGCTGACGGCTCCAGCTGCAAGGCACAGACGGCGGCGGCGGCGGCCGTGGTGTTTTCACGATGAAGTTCGGAACACTGTTGATCGTCGGCCCATCCGCCGATGTCAACGGCGCCGCCACCGCGGAGTTCGTACAGCTCCTGAGCCACCACGTGGAGCAACACAACGGGGCAGAATGCGCTGCCGTACTCTACAGATGGTGCCGCTGCAGCGGCGGCTGCGGCGGCGGCTGCGCTGTACGCGCCTGACGGAGCCGCGGCGGCTGCTGCTGAGATAGCGGTCATGGACTCGACCGCCGCCGCGGATGGCGCGGTGGCGGCGTCGGATGCAGCAGCAGGTTCTAACCAGGTTTGTACATCACCGCCGCCGACACCGTCCCCGCCGCGGGGGTTGTGTGCGGAACGTAGCGGCGGCGGCGGCGGCGGGGGCGCCAGCAAGAGCGTCAGCACGGATCCCAGCAGGCCTTGCCGCAGTGCCACACAGCCGCACAGCACAGAAGTCCACTCAGGGGCCCCGCCGCCGCCGCCGCTGTGCTGCTCGGCCCTGCTGGCAGCATGAGACTCCGAGACCAAAAGGCGGTCTAACAGCGTCTCCCAGATGCGTCGTACGGCAACGGCTGCTACGGCCCCTGCTGGTTCCGGTGCTGCTGCAGCTGCTGCTGCAGCTATTGGTGACGGCGGTCCCGGTGTTGGCATTGGCACCGTCGCTGCTGTAGCTGTAGCTGCAGCTGTAGTGGGGCTGTCGCTGGGGACTGTTGTGGAGGTAGTGGCGGTGGAGGAGAAGGGGGAATGGACTTCAGGTACTGCGCAGAGCGCCCGGCTGCGGCAGATGTCTAGGCGGCAGCAGGCATACAGCGCCAGAGTGGCCGGATCGTGGACTTGGGCTGTCGAGGATGCGGGGGGAAGTTGGGAGTTGGGAGTTGACGGTTTGGGGTTTGGGGGAGAGGGCGTCCAGATGGCAGTGGACAGCGAGGGCATACCGTGTGCCACAGTTTGCCAGCAGCAGGGCTGCGTGACGGGAGGAAGTGTTTTAGGGTTTTAGGGTTTTAAACAAACATGGGGATTTTGCTATGGACCGGTTGTAGGGTTTAGGAGAGTGATGGGGGGGAGAGGAGCATTGACGGCGCGTCCCGATAAGAGCACGACGGTAGGTGCCTTTCTGCGGGCTGATTTCGCCCTTGCTGCTGATTGCGACACGTATGGCGAAACACACACCTGACGGATGCACAATTAGGCTTAAGAAGGCAGCTGGAAAGCAGTGAGACCAAATCTCTGCCCCGCCGCTGGCTCCAGAGCTGGCCAGGTTTGCGAGCAGCTGCGCGCATGCCGCGAGGTAGGACGTGTCGACGCCATCCGGGCACGGACCGGCGGTCGAGGTGCGAGAGGTAGACGATCTAGAATTGGGTTTGTTATGTTCAGGCGCATCAGTTCGCTTTGGGGCAAGCGAAAGGACGACCGCTGGGACGAGACCGGCCTCGAGGATGGCGGTGACAGCGCGTTCGCCTAGCGGCACACAGTTCCGCAAAAGACGTATTAGTTTTACGTCGGCCTCCGTAACCCTGTAATGCGATGAATTCGCTTTAAACTCCGCAGCGGCGGCAATGCGACGCCACAAATAGAACGTACTCACTGTTCTCTCCGAATACTCTTAGCTAATTCGATTGCACGCTTAAGGTCAAGTTCTAAAAAATTATTCCGGCCTGAATCTGTTTTTATAGCATTTAACCATTCCAATACGGTCTCCACTTGGCACCCCATCTATAATTTCATGAAACACTTCGAAGCTAAAATCAAAACTTCGACAACAGCAATGTCTGCTCTAATCCAGCCATTGCAGGGGTATGCACTGCATGCTGTGGTAACAGCCGCATGCCATGTGGCGCGTGTGCTGAGACCTGAGAGGTTCCATAGCGGAAGGTTCACTCCGATTGTACGGGTAATTTAAAAAAGCTATCTTCATGCTGATTCCCCTTGCTTGTACCTCCATGGGCGCTCGTCTGCTCGCCCTTTCCTGGTTTTGCGGCGCCTGGCCCAGCTGCAGCTGACGTCCACAGCTGCCGTCCACGTCCACAAAGCTGCAGGGGCCACGGATGGTCAACAGAGCCATTAATGTGGCGGCGAGTGAGGATGTTGACGTCCTCTCCCTCTCGATTGGGCTCGGAGCGCCTGAGGGCGATGTGCCTGTTGGTCTCACAGACCTCCGGGAGAGAACAAACCACAGCTATAGGTGGGGCTTCCGCCATAATACTACTACTACTGCATTTCGCGCCTTCCGAAGTTAATGGCCCCCTCGTAATTAACTTCAACGCCCCATAGGCTGGGGGCAGCCACAGAAGGCTTGCAGCTCGTCCTGGACCATTCCGCAGTCACAAGGTCCGCGGGTACGCGCGCGGCACGCTGGCCAGCCATTAGGCCAATAGTTAACTTCCACAGTTCCCGACAACCCAACCTGAAACACATGAGCGCCTGGTGCAATGGCCTATATAGGCAACACAGCCCCGATGTGAGCGAACCACACAAGCCGTACTCCCCTACTACCAGGAGATGCTCCCCCCTCATCTCGATGCTCCTGTACCGGCGTATATGCCTGAATGACTCCGATGGGAATATCCCCCCGTGGTTGGGCTACAGGGTGCCAGCACACGTCCGCCTCGCATTGGGCCGCTTAGCGAGCTCTTGTAGGATATCACCAACAGGCACCTTAACGGTATGGGCAGAGTGTGCAGCCGAGTCTTGTGGGCCCTGTAGGCCCTGTGTCACGGGGCCTAACGCAACCGTGCTGGCTTGCCGGGAGGCAAGGACCATTCCTGACCAACAATCAGTGACAGCCTCGACCGCTAGGCCCAGGTCTGAATACGAACGCTCGGTGGCACATTGTCCCGCCGGGCCTCTTCACCCTGGAGTCCCAAAACCTAAGAACACAGATAGCCCTATCGGATTGCAGTGACCGGACCGCACTGAGATAGCTTACCACGATAGAAACAGATCGATCACGGTGTGGGGGGATTTCGCGCACCTACCTTAGATTGCATGAATGCACACGCTGTTCCTCGACCATAGATAGGGTTGTCACAGCGCTTTCATTGGGGCCCAAACTTGCGCCCCGTACGATAAGACGGAGGCGACAGTTGCGTTGTAGAGGCCCATGGAGATCTAAGACACTGTAAGACAACTTTTTACTGCGGCACATTGCGGTGCGGCCAAACGTGGCTTTGCTTTCTCCCGGCTAACAGTTGCTAACAGTTGCTAACAAGCAGTGAAGTGCTGCCCCCGCACGTAGTGCAGCCCGCGAACCATGCAATCGAGCGCGACTTTCCAACGAGCTCCGGACGCGAGCCAGTCACGGACGCGATTCAGAGATGCCTTCCCTCCGCTTCGCTCTCCGCTGCGCTACGAGAAGCTACGGTGATAAGTGGTCTGGCGCAGGCCACACCGTATGCTTAAGCGGCGAGGTGCCGGCGCAGGGCAAACAAGTGGTGGTTGGGTTCCATGCCGAACGCCATGCTCCTAAATCCTCTGCCTGACACTTGCGGCGCGGGTGCTGTTATCCTCGCAACCGAATTCGTTAACCCGGCGCGCGATATCACTGCGGCGTACAGCTTGGAACAGCGCGGGGGGCCCCCCACAGCGATGCCGTGATGGCCATCAGAGCACAGGAGGCATCAAAACCCTAAAACCCTAAAACCCCTCCCTACTTGGGACGGGGCGGGGGTATAATGTGCTGCTCACACAAAGCCGGTAATGAGTGCAGCAAACCTTTGAGGCACAGCCCATAACGGTTACTGGTGTACAGCTGACTTTAAATAGCTACTTCTCACGAAATGACTCGAAACTCTGATCAGGGTGTTTAGGCGGAAAGACACGGATATCTCGCACATGAGGACAACTTAAAACCTCTGGAAAACCCTAAAACACTCATGCCGTTCCTAATTTCTTAGGTTTTGCCTTGCAGGGCCTCCATCAATCCATGTCATTAGACCTATTTGCAATGTGGGCAGTCAGTGTGTCGGACGGCCGTTTGGCAGCTGGAATAATAGCGCTTTTGCCGGCCATTACTGCTGCTGCTCAGCTCATCACACAGAGGCACATCAGGCAATAGGACACAGGTTCCCGCGCTGCCATTCAGAGCTGGTCAAACACAACCGCAACACAAGCACCTGCTGGCCTTTCTGGAATATATCATGCACGTGGTGTACAGCAGTGCCTTTGCAACGAAGCCGTCTCCTTGTCATTCTCCAGTAGTCGCAAGAGCTCTTCTTTCTCTGCCGCCACGCCTGCATGCTGCCAGCTTGCCCCCCGGGGGAGAGGACGAAGACCGTATCCACACAAGCACCGGTCTGCGACCTAAGGTTTTCTCAAACTCTACACGTAGTCAACTCGGGAGCTGCGAGTAAAGCGCAAGTCCTGCTTGTCTTACAGCGGAGAAGAGGAGGGGGTAACATCAGAGCACAATCCGCAATCCTTTTATGCATTAAACCCTTGTCGTTCAGTACGACACATATATTTTTTCTAAAGACAGCAGATACTATCACCAGATACTAAATCAACGAGGCTAAAGTTAAGTATCATAGACATATTCCGTGACAAGCAAGATAGACACGCACAGCATGATGGCACGGCCACTAAGGATTTACTAAAAGGCAAAAAGATGTCGGCTTCTAAGTGCAAGCGTTATGCAAAACATGCAAGCCGGGAAGTTAGGCTGACTAGTTAGTTTCCTGCTTCCTTCAGCCACGCACCTACGCACAGCGGGTGTCGTACTATTGTCGTAACCTCACAAACCACATCCTAAATTGTGCAAAAAAAACAGCTAGTCAGCGCATCCCCAATCTAGCGGCACTCCGTTCTGATGATAGAGATTCTGCCGATGCCGAAACGAAACTATGGCAACAGCCGCTGAGCCTACAGCTGTCGCCCCACACACAGGATGACGTCCTTAAAACGCACGACTTCTCTATCACAGAAGTGTGCACGACTTCTCTATCAAAGGATTGCTATGGAATGCAAACAACAGCAACGGTCCACCGCTACGTCTCCATGACAATCGCCACAGTCTACGTTTCAACCTTGAAACGAGGATTACCTCGGATTACTAATTTTCATTCAGCCCAACCGAACCAACGTCCAACTGTCGTCCAACTGATATCCAACTGAACCAACATCCAACTGTCAGAGCTAACAACTGGCGATTTGAAAAGCTTCGGGGAGAAGCGATATTCAAAAGAGTAATTAAGACCAACGTAAAAGCTAGGCAAAGGCCGTACAGTCTGCAAACCGCAGACTGCAGGGTAATAAGGGCCGTGCCTTTGTATTTCGTCTCTTTCCCCGCTGCGTCACCTACCTTCTATATCTTAGACGCAGACGCACCGCAATAAGCGCCGTGTTGAATTTTCGGGACACCCGGACTTCCAAAGACACAAAGATACAGTACCGCAAAATTGAAGGGAAGCAGCAGTCTCCCACCCTTACTTAGCCTCAGCAGCCCGCCCTTACTCCAATCCCTTTTAGTTACGCCACAACTACGTTCTTCAAACTAAAACCAACCGCTGCCTCACCATTCACTTGTACATCATGAGCATCGAAACCATACTGCCCACTTCTTTTCCATCCCTTCCCATTTACATCGCGCACTAATTGCCATGGAAAAAAACACATACACACATTCACGCACACACACACAAACATACATACATGCATCAACCAACATTTTGGTTTTCGTGACGCAAGCCATATTTACTTCCTTCCGGATCAAGGCCCATGCACCAGTCCACCCATCCACACCTTTCATCCCCCGAACATAGAGGCACCTATACACACACGCATGCGCGCTGACAAAAGACTGACGGACAGCGATGGGCCCCTCCCCTCTTCCCCCTCTTCCCCCGCCCGCCTCCCGCCTCCCCTAATCGCCCGCCTCTATTGCACATCGGCGCGCCATCTAACCCCATGGGCCCCATGAGCACCCACGACCCAATTCTTCGACCCCCGCCTCCTTCCTCATCCCTCATTTGCACTATTTCGTTTCTTCATGGACACGCAAACGACACGCACGTCCAGTGACAATGGAGTCAGCAATAATAATAATAATGTTGTTGTTGTTATGTTATTAACTAGGTTGCGTATTGATTAGAACCGGCGACCATGTCCACGTTTAAATCTGTCATGCGCTTACGTCGCGGAGGCTCCGGAACCGCGATTACATGCTGTACTTGCGCCAATGTCGGGTAGTGGGTGCGCTGAGGTCCGCCATTCCGCGCCACGGCGGCCTCCGCGCACGTGTTCTGCCACAAAATGACCCGTGGGTCGACCCCATCCACGCCTCGGCGGCTGTCGTACTGCGCCGTTGCCGCAGTGGACCGCATCCCGGACTGCGCGCGCGGAGAAAGACGGAAATTAGTTCTCTTTTTCCCTTGTATCGAAACTTTAAAACTCGAAGGCATGGCAAGGTAAGGAAGGCCCATGGGTTAGTGTCCGTCAATCTGTCTGTCTGTCTGTCTGTCTGTCTATATACGTGTGGGGGATGACGTGCATAGGGCCCGGGAATGGCTTAAGGGTTGTTTTGTGTGAAGAGGGGAGGGGAGGGGAGGGGCTTGGGGGTTTTATGGCGGTTAGCAATGCCGTGTATGGTACCCGGACAGGGAAGTAAGTTTAGAGAATCCGCTGCGGCAGTGGCCGAAGCGGACGCGGCAGTAGCCTCCAGCCCTCCCCTACCAGCCTTCCACGCCTCCGAACCCAGACCTACCCTTGGCCGGCCCAGACGGGCAAAGTACAGCGCGCCCCACAGCAGTACGGCACCGCCCACAAGGCCCAGTACGATGCCCACAACGGCGCCCGTACTAATATGGCTGCTGCGCTTGCCCTCGTCGTCACCGCCGCCGCCGGAACCGGTGACGACGGTCCCACCAGCAGCAGTGTTGGAAGTCGGGGAGATCAGGGCTTCACCGGAGACCTCCGGATCGTCCACACCGATCACCTGGACTGCCACGTTCAACGCTCTGGAGACCTGGGTGGCTAAGGTCTGCGGGTCGTTGAAAATCTGACTCGCTGCGTCGGCGGCGCTGCCGCTGCTGCTACTGCCTTTGGTACTCGAGCTGCTGCTGCTGCTGCTGCTGCTACTGTCCGTGGTGGTGGTGGTGGCTTGCAGTAGAAGCTCCGAGGAGAGCTGGAGTTGCTGAGGCAGCGGCAACGGCACCAGCAGCTGCGGCGACGGCGCCGGGACGCTGTTACCCAGCAAGGCTGATACCAGGGCGGCAAGATCGTCGTACGGATTGACCGCGATTCGTGCCGTGAAGGCAGCGTCAGGGCAAGACGCTGGGCTCACCGACGGCGGCGCCGCCGCCGTTGCCTCCGCCAGGATCCTCCGCCGCCGCTGCCGCTGCAGCTGCCGCCGTGCCATCGTACCTTCCTTCTGTACTGTACACGCCGTGGCCGTGTTTTCCAGGAGCGCTCGTGCCGCTGTGGCTACGCCCCTTCGCAGCTTTGCCAACAAGGACACGTCGCAGGGTGGGCACGCGGTAGCGCCGCCGCTCAAGGTTTGCACACTGTACGGCACGGTAATGGTCTTGGCGAGTACCGTCACATTGACCTTCACCTGGCCGTCGCCGCTGCTGCTGCTGCTGTTGCTGCTATTACCGCTGGCGGCGGCGGCGGCGGCGGTCACATACGACGTCAAGAGCGTGTGCAGCGCCGCCACTTGTTGCGGTGTGGGAATCGTTGGCACGGTTATAGTTCGCACGGCAATACGGGATTGAGCCACGGACGGTGGCGGCGATGCTCTTTGGGTGACGGCGGAGGACGTGTTTC